CCAAAGTGGCCAAATCTACTGATTCACCCACACACCAAGCAAGCACACAGAAACCCAACAATGTTTCAACTATCACGACGCGATGTGCTTGAGGAAAAGAGGATATTCCACCAGAGCTGCCAAAGCAGTAACTTAAAGCCTTACTTAAGATCAACCTGTAACTTGTATGATGGCAAGTGGCAAAGTTTTGAGAAATACGCCGGAATAAAGGCTTCACTGCAATAGAAGCAACACATCCTCAAGTGGCGGAATACCTTTGTCATCTTAGACAGACAAAACGATTGAAGGGATCTACACTCTCTACATACCTAGTGGCCTTGAGCTCAGTTATCACGATGAAGACGGGTATAAAACTGACAAAAGTACCAGAGATACTGGCACTACTATGCTCATTCAAGTTGGAAGACCAACAAAGAAAATTCAAGGCTACCGCTTAGATCTCAACGTGGTTCTACAACATCTTACCAGCGAAGATTACGAACCACTAGAAAGGACATCATATGAGAAATTAACTCATAAAACACTGTTCCTCATAGCCTTAGCTACAGCGGCAAGGATGTCAGAAATTCATGCTCTAGACTGCGAACGAACAAGATTTGACACGCATCGTGACACAGTGCATCTGGAACTAAGATGGGATTTTATAGCAAAGAATCAACTGCCCGGTCAACCAGACAGACAATTCCATATCCCAGCACTATCATAGATATTAGGACCACAGGATACACAAGGCTGATCCTTATGTCCAGTCAGAGCATTGAAAATATATCTACAGAGGTCTAAATAAAGGAGACGAAAATTCAAGCGCCTTTTCATCCCTCTATCTACGGAGACACCTACAGAGGTCTCACGTACGACCATATCAATATGGATGAGATTTGTCATATTGAGAGCCTATAAAGCAGCAGGACTTGATCCTCCACGAGCCTCCAATCCTCATGAAGTTAGAGCTCTGGCATCCACACTGGCATCCACGGAAACTGCTCCATATCAACAACAATGGAGGGTTGCTTCTGGAGGTCGGAGACGGTGTTTGCCAACCACTACCTCAGAGACATGGCTACAGAGGACGTCTCGGGCATACACCAGTTTGGGCCGCTTGTTGTAGCACAACAATTGACGGTACCTCAAAGGCGCTGAGATAAATCTCACCCTTTTGTCACGTGACTTGTAAAAGCCAACACTCAACAGAGTACGGTTTTAGAGTCCATGCGCACGTCTAGGACAGGCTAGCATGAGTGATAGACCCGGTACTTGTAAGGACTTACTTGTACACGATGTAGGGTCACTTATCCACTTGATGCATGCATCAAGAGATGGAGTCGTATAAAATCCACACAAGATGTCAGGAGAAGATTTCCAGGATAAATCTGACAAGTTGTGGTCCCCCCACTCATCAGAGGAAGCTGGAAGAAAGCACAAATGACATTAGAAGTTCCCAAGGGGGTATAAGGATGTAAATCAGCAGAGAATCCAGAGTGGCTTGACCCACCACCGTTTCAGTCGGATTCTACAAGCAATTAAGCATGAGTCAGGATAAGGAAAAATATGTAATTTTCTGACTAAAATTGATATTTTACACTTATTCTGACTCATGAGGTTAGCCCTCCCAACCTCCCCTCATGGCACTCTGGATTTCCCTGCAAACCCAAGTGTCGGGATCAAACTAACAGAGAGAGTGACAAGCATGGCCGATCATGTGACCAGTTTCGCGCCAAAAGATGGGCAAAAGGGAGACAACTGGGGTGAGTGATTTTATGTCCACTTTTTTGAAGGGAGCTTCAAAAGGGGATCCAAGTGTTCCACTATAGTTCGCAAGAAGAAGAAGGCTAACAATTAGGCATGAGTCAGGATAAGTATAAAATATCAATTTTAGTCAGAAAATTAAAGTTGCAGGCAACATTGACGGCTCCTTGGCTTGGATCATTTCTAAACATTTGGTACCTGATGTCGAAAGCAGTAAAGGTTATAGCTGATATGGATCGTATCATTGTCAGTAATGAGAAATACTTCAGGAGCCGATTTTACTAGCGCTTACTTCAGCTAGACCAGAGTTACCCCCCTTAGACCACAGCTAGAACTTTTACCCTGACCCGGAACGTTCAATCACTGACAATCTTTAAAAACTGCCTAAAGACCTCCACTGCAGTGTAGTTTAATTTTGTGCAGCGTTAGCTCTCGTCATTGTCAACTGAAATCGACATCATCGCCCATATCTGCATCGCGGACCACGCTTTGCAGTGGTAGTCTCTTTATAGCAGATATCGTCCCTGCACTTTCCTTCAGACTGTCGTGATGTTTTGCACGGTAATCTGCCGTGTTTCGGTGGCTGTAAATGTCGATGAAACTTATGATACATTCGCAATGTATCCCCTGGGTCAGCCGGTGATATAAAGAAGTCCCTATTTCGCTAAATCTGCCCCAAAGCTTTGGGTTTTGAATGTAAGCATTATTTATGATGACTGGTACGCTGCTGAAAGTCTGTTTGCGTCATATTTAGCGTGTTCAGCCTGGAGTTGTGGGTGAGTTTGTTTGGTACTCTTTTTCTTTCATTTGGGGCACGATCTCAAACAGTTTTTTCCCTTTTCCCTGCATTTGTGCAATTTTCAATGCCATATGGCCGTAATAAAACGATCAAACTTTTGATATGCATGTAAGAACACGAAATGTTAAGCATCTTCTGTTGATGCATACTGCCAAGTTTACTGCCTTCTGTGCAGAACTTGAGCAGCTATGTTTAGAATGTAGTATCATCAGAATCTGATCGAAATCCAATATGGCGCCAAGCAATGCACATTTTGACATGCACCCAAGAACAAAAATGTTCAACACACTTAGTTACTACGCGACTGCCAGATTCTAGCTGCATAGTTGCGAAAGTAATGATGCTGCGCGATTTTTTGAAAATACATTTTAGTACAAAATAAACAACAGAAGCAAACATCTAGATATCCGTAGCTAATCAAGATATCGCAACATAGCTTATGGGCATTAATATTTGAGGTATATGTTGTATATCTGCACATTTACAGCGCTCTGCAGTTCATACATTCAGAGTTATGGCTTGCGAAAATGCCTACCCAACAAACTCTGCACATTTCCTCGAAACATCTTCAATCCAATATGGCAGCCGCGATCAATGCGTGACTTTGACATAGGACCAAGAACAGAAAAATGCTTTAACAACCAAAGCCACTTCAGAACAAGCGCTTAAACTGTTGTATGTGCTAAGTTTAGTTTGGCACACAATGGCAAAGAAGCCCGTGAAAGTTTTTGAAGACAACTTTTGCCCAAAAGTAGCCCAATATGGCGCCATCATATAAACATAGGCACATTTGACGATGCTACTGTGTAGAAACATGCATAGACACAAAGTATGCAGCGCTTGAAAGTCGTAGTCTTGTAGTTTTAGTGCAGCACATTTTGGGAGGTATGCAGTCAGGATTTTGCTTGAAAAACATCACCAAAAACTTCAATCCCAAATAGCGTCCAAACGGTGCATTGCATTTTAGCGACTTGAGTCAGATCCAGGCGAAATTGTAGGCATTTTGATTGAGCATCTGCTCCAGAACTTTGGCAAACATGGGAGCATTAGTTTTGGAGATATTTGCATTTGCATTTGAAATTTTTGAATTAATTTTGAATTATCTGCCCTTTGCTATTGAGCCTACAGCCTAGAGATTTTAATGGGGAATATCTACACCTTGGTGGGCATCTGGGTGAATTTTTTCAAGCGAATCTGTCCAGCAGTGCTCTTTGTAGGGCTGGAACAAAATACGGCGGAAGAATAAATAATAATAATAATAAAAACATTAACGATTACAATAGGTCTCCTGCCTAAAGGCAAAGGAGCCCTAATTACATTATTCTGCTTGGCTTAGATATATTGCATTTTGCATATCTCGCTTTGAGAAATAACACCCAAAGTTATTCAAGTAAAAACACTCCTTTCTAAAATGTTCATAAATATTTGATTCTAGTGATTGCGAGTAAGTAATTGAATTCATGAAGCATTAAGGTTTGATTCACCGAAAATGAAGTGAATCGTAAGAGCCCTAGTACTTAATGACAATGCTGCTCTGATTAGCTTAAGTGCTCTTGTATTCTACAGGAATATTTGTTATGTTTTGGATGTAGTTGTTATTTGAAATTGTCCTTTGAATTTCTGTATTCTGAGGATACATTTCTGTTTTATGCTGCATTACACCACTTTCAGCTGTGTACTGTCTCACCCTGGTGAAAATCTCACTACTCATCGTGGAATGTTTCTAGTAGAACTGTACTGTCTCACCTTGGTGAACATCTCACTACTCATCGTGGAATGTTTCTAGTAGAACTGTACTGTCTCACCCTGGTGAAAATCTCACTACTCATCGTGGAATGTTTCTAGTAGAACTGTACTGTCTCACCCTGGTGAAAATCTCACTACTCATTGTGGAATGTTTCAAGTAGAACTGTACGTTCTCACCCTGGCGAGCATCTCACTACTCATTGTGGAATGTTTCTAGTAGAACTGTACTGTCTCACCCTGGTGAACATCTCACTACTCATTGTGGAATGTTTGCAGTAGAACTGTACTGCCTTGCCCTGGTGAAAATCTCACTACTCATCGTGGAATGTTTCTAGTAGAACTGTACTGTCTCACCCTGGTGAAAATCTCACTACTCATTGTGGAATGTTTCTAGTAGAACTGTACTGTCTCACCCTGGCGAACATCTCACTACTCATCGTGGAATGTTTCTAGTAGAACTGTACTGTCTCACCCTGGTGAACATCTCACTACTCATTGTGGAATGTTTCTAGTAGAACTGTACTGCCTCACCCTGGTGAACATCTCACTACTCATTGTGGAATGTTTCCAGTAGAACTGTACTGTCTCACCCTGGTGAACATCTCACTACTTTGTGGAATGTTTCTAGTAGAACTGTACTCATCGTGGATTGTTTCCCTGAACCTCAACTTAATGCAATGTTGAATAAACCACTTTTCGTCTTCCGCAGCTGCTTAGGAGCTCACTGGTAAACAACCGCACTCAGTCTATTGTGTGTGACGACCTTGGCATGTCTGCGTACGTCATCTATGACAAACAGGGTCGTGAGAAAATCGAAATGAAAACTAAGGAAAAAGCCGATCTCTTGGAAGGTATGTAGTTACGGACCTCTGTTTGGTCTTTTTGGTAAACTTTCACGTTATTTTGCCATTCATTATGTACGCAGTTTGCAAAGGGACAGAAACCTTATAGTTGATTTTCGCTTCAGTGTACCTCTTATAGTTTGAAGATCCAGGTTACAATTAATCTTCTGTAACCCATGCTTGTCGTAAGAGGCCGTTAACGGGATCGGATGGTCAGACTCGCTGACTTGGCTGACACATGTCATTGTATCCCAATTGCATAGATTGATGCGCATGCTGTTGATCACTGGATTGTCTGGTCCAGACTTGATTATTTACAGACAACCGCCATTTAGCTGGAATATTGCTGAGTGCAGCGTAAAACTAAACTCCTTTACTCTCATATTAGAGTTTGCCGTGTGAACACCCAAAATACTTGTCAGTCTGTGAAGTCAGGTTCTCTTTTTTCATAACAGTAAACATCCCTGAGAACACAAGTCATTTAAGGTTTTTAATGAATTCACCATATTCCCCTGGAAAAATTGTAATGTCTTCTGATGTGTCATGTAAAGGCCAGGGTCACAGGTTAATGGTCAAGGTACCAAAATAGAATGAAAATGTTTTCAAATGTGTACCAACTTTTTTATCAATCAAAACATTTTTGAGTGCTCACATAAGTTGAGTCCCATCCTCGCTTCTCTCTTTAACTTTCCTATATACTTTCTCTCTATATCTTCCTTAGATGTATGATATTGTAAATGCATGTATATAATTATTAGGTAGTGGATAACTTGTCCCCAGTCCCTTTCACATCTGAATAGAATATGTTTAAATCAAACCAAAATAGAATGAAATATGTTTTGTATCATTGAAACTTCAGTTATATACACATAACATTTGTAAAGTACACATCTCAGTGAGAAGTATTGCATGGAATGATGCTGAAGGTTGAGATTCATTAGCATTTTCTTATTTTCTGCTAATTTTAAACTAAAAGATCCTTCAAGATTTTGTATGAACAGTCAGCAATATTCTTACACTACAAATATGCTGAATTTTTATTCAGTTTTATTTATATGTTTTCAAGCATAACGTTTAGGAATTTTTATTTGGACAGTTACACATTGCATGTATTTTGATTTGCTGTTCAGCTTTGCTGGGTGCCCTGTTTGTGGACAAAGACCTGAAGTATTGTGAGGTGTTCTGCAACGTCTGTTTCTTCCCCCGGCTAAAGGTCAGTTAAACTTAAGTAACCTCTGCCTCCAGCTCGGGCACAGCTTGCTCTGTTGAACTGAAATAACCCTTTTCAGCTGTTAGTTGTGGCAGCATTCAACCCAATTACATCTGGTTGAAAGTGAGATATGTCTCATCCAGGTGTTGTGAGATATGTCTCATCCAGGGGTTGTAAGTGAGATATGTCTCATCCAGGGGTTGTAAGTGAGATATGTCTCATCCAGGGGTTGTGAGATATGTCTCATCCAGGGGTTGTAAGTGAGATATGTCTCATCCAGGGGTTGTAAGTGAGATATGTCTCATCCAGGGGTTGTAAGTGAGATATGTCTCATCCAGGAAATGTAATTGAGATATGTCTCATCCAGTGGTTATAAGTGAGATATGTCTCATCCAGGAAATGTGAGATATGTCTCATCAAGGGATTGTAAGTGAGATATGTCTCATCCAGAAAATGTAAGTGAGATATGTCTCATCCAGAAAATGTAAGTGAGATATGTCTCATCCAGGAAATGTGAGATATGTCTCATCAAGGGGTTGTAAGTGAGATATGTCTCATCAACAGGTTGTGACGTATGTCTCATGCAGGGGATGTAAGTGAGATATGTCTCATCCAGAGGTTGTGGTGAGATATCTATCAAAGTGAGATATGTCTCATCCAGGAGATATGTCCATCCAGAGGTTATCAATGAGATATATCTCAATGCAGAGGCAGGTGAGATAAATCACAATTGTAAGTGAGATATGTCTCATCCAGAGAAATGTAAGGGATGAGATATGTCTCATCAGAGGGTTGTAAGTGAGATATGTCTCATCCAGTTGTAAAATGTCATCCAGAGGTTGTGTGTGAGATATGTCTCTCATCAAGGGGTTGTAAGTGAGATATGTCTCCATCAAGGGGTTGTAAGTGAGATATGTCTCATCCAGGAAATGTACGTGAGATATGTGTCATCCAGGGGTTATAAGTGAGATATGTCTCATCCAGGAAATGTAAGTGAAATATGTGTCATCCAGGGGTTGTAAGTGAGATATGTCTCATCTAGGAAATGTACATGAGATATGTCTCATCCAGGGTTGTAAGTGAAATATGTCTCATTCAGAGGTTGTAAGTAAGACATACCTCATCCAGAGGTTATGACATATGTCTCATTCAGAGGTTGTCGGTGAGATATGTCTCATCAAGGGGTTGTAAGTGAGATATATGTGTCAACCAGATGTTCTATGTGAGATATGTCTCCTCTAGAGGTTGTAAGTGAGATATATCTCATCAACAGGTTGTGACGTATATCTCATGCAGGGGATGTAAGTGAGATATGTCTCATCCAGAGGTTATCAATGAGATATATCTCAATGCAGAGGCTATAGGTGAGATAAATCACAATCCAGGGGTTCTAAGTGAGATATATCTCATCCAGAGTTTGTGACATATGTCTCATCCAGGGGATGTAAGTGAGATATATCTCATCCAGCGGTTATAAGTGAGATATGTCTCATCCAGAGGTTGTGTGTGAGATATGTCTCATCCAGAGGTTGTTAGTAAAATATGTCTCATCCAGGGGTTGTAAGTGAGATATGTCTCATCCAGGAGGTTGTAAGTGAGATATATCTCATCCAGAGGTTGTAAGTGAGATATGTCTCATCCAGAGGTTGTAAGTGAGATATGTCTCATCCAGAGGTTGTAAGTGAGATATGTCTCATCCAGAGGTTGTAAGTGAGACATATTTCATCGAGAGGTTGTACATGAGATATGTCTCATCCAGAGCTTGTAAGTAAGATTTGTCTCATCCAGAGGTTGCAAATGAGATATGTCTCATCCAGAGGTTGTAAATGAGATATGATGTAAACCAACACAAATGTCTCTTCCAGATGTTCATCATGAATCAGGACTGGAATGACCCCAAGTCTCAGTTACAACAGTGTTGTCTAACCCTGAGAGAGCTGGATGGTGGAGAGCCAGACATTCCTGTCTACAAGTAAGTGTTGTCTAACCCTGAGAGAGCTGGATGGTGGAGAGCCAGACATTCCTGTCTACAAGTAAGTGTTGTCTAACCCTGAGAGAGCTGGATGGTGGAGAGCCAGACATTCCTGTCTACAAGTAAGTGTTGTCTAACCCTGAGAGAGCTGGATGGTGGAGAGCCAGACATTCCTGTCTACAAGTAAGTGTTGTCTAACCCTGAGAGAGCTGGATGGTGGAGGGCCAGACATTCCTGTCTACAAGTAAGTGTTGTCTAACCCTGAGAGAGTTGGATGGTGGAGAGCCAGACATTCCTGTCTACAAGTAAGTGTTGTCTAACCCTGAGAGAGCTGGATGGTGGAGAGCCAGACATTCCTGTCTACAAGTAAGTGTTGTCTAACCCTGAGAGAGCTGGATGGTGGAGAGCCAGACATTCCTGTCTACAAGTAAGTGTTGTCTAACCCTGAGAGAGCTGGATGGTGGAGAGCCAGACATTCCTGTCTACAAGTAAGTGTTGTCTAACCCTGAGAGCTGGATGGTGGAGAGCCAGACATTCCTGTCTACAAGTAAGTGTTGTCTAACCCCTGAGAGAGCTGGATGGTGGAGAGCCAGACATTCCTGTCTACAAGCAAGTGTTGTCTAACCCTGAGAGAGCTGGATGGTGGAGAGCCAGACATGCCTGTCTACAAGTAAGTGTTGTCTAACCCTGAGAGAGCTGGATGGTGGAGAGCCAGACATTCCTGTCTACAAGTAAGTGTTGTCTAACCCTGAGAGAGCTGGATGGTGGAGAGCCAGACATTCCTGTCTACAAGTAAGTGTTGTCTAACCCTGAGAGAGCTGGATGGTGGAGAGCCAGACATTCCTGTCTACAAGTAAGTGTTGTCTAACCCTGAGAGAGCTGGATGGTGGAGAGCCAGACATTCCTGTCTACAAGTAAGTGTTGTCTAACCCTGAGAGAGCTGGATGGTGGAGAGCCAGACATTCCTGTCTACAAGTAAGTGTTGTCTAACCCTGAGAGAGCTGGATGGTGGAGAGCCAGACATTCCTGTCTACAAGTAAGTGTTGTCTAACCCTGAGAGAGCTGGATGGTGGAGAGCCAGACATTCCTGTCTACAAGTAAGTGTTGTCTAACCCTGAGAGAGCTGGATGGTGGAGAGCCAGACATTCCTGTCTACAAGTAAGTGTTGTCTAACCCTGAGAGAGCTGGATGGTGGAGAGCCAGACATTCCTGTCTACAAGTAAGTGTTGTCTAACCCTGAGAGAGCTGGATGGTGGAGAGCCAGACATTCCTGTCTACAAGTAAGTGTTGTCTAACCCTGAGAGAGCTGGATGGTGGAGAGCCAGACATTCCTGTCTACAAGTAAGTGTTGTCTAACCCTGAGAGAGCTGGATGGTGGAGAGCCAGACATTCCTGTCTACAAGTAAGTGTTGTCTTACCCTGAGAGAGCTGGATGGTGGAGAGCCAGACATTCCTGTCTACAAGTAAGTGTTGTCTAACCCTGAGAGAGCTGGATGGTGGAGAGCCAGACATTCCTGTCTACAAGTAAGTGTTGTCTAACCCTGAGAGAGCTGGATGGTGGAGAGCCAGACATTCCTGTCTACAAGTGAGTGTTGTCTAACCCTGAGAGAGCTGGATGGTGGAGAGCCAGACATTCCTCTCTACAAGTAAGTGTTGTCTAACCCTATCAGTAAGTGTTAAATGAATAAGAGAGCTAGCCATACTTAAGTAGCCAAGTGTTGCCTGATCTCTAAGCTTTGGCAGGCTCCAGAGAACTCTTCATTCAGTGCGTATGCCCGAATGACGAGGAATTCTTTGCAAGTGATATCTATGGTATTGTGCATAATCAACCCCTCCTAGAATCAGGAAAGTGATCAGGTAGAAATTGGACCATGTATCATAATTATCACATTTCTTCCACAGGGTCATAGAGTCCCGTGGTCCGACCAACACAAGGCAGTACGTGGTGGCAGTGTACTTCCGGGGTGAGCGGCTAGCCACTGGCATGGGGCACAGCATACAGCGGGCAGAGATGAAGGCTGCCACTAATGCTTTACAGAACAGAGCAGGTAATGAAAGCTGTGTTTTCTCTGTCGTCCCTGTGTTCCCCCAAGGATGGCCTGCCAGTGTGTGCCTGACAGTGTGACCTGTCTGGTTGTATGACCAGTCTGACAGTGTGACCTGACTGGGTGTGTGACCTGTCTGGTTGTGTGTGTGACCTGTCTGAAAGTGTGACCTGTCAGTTGTGACCTGTAGTAGTGTGACCTGTCTAGTTGTGTGACCTGTCTGGTTGTGTGACCAATCTGACAGTGTGTGAATTGTCTGACACTTGTGTGACCAGTCTGACAGTGTAACCTGTCTGCTTGTGTGACCTGTCTGGTTGTGTGAGCAGTCTAACAGTGTGACCTGTCTGGTTGTGTGACCTGACTTGGTATGTGACCTGTCTGGTTGTGTGACATGTCTGGTTGTGTGACCTGACTTGGTATGTGACCTGTCTGACTTTGTGACCAGTCTGACAGTGTGACCAGTCTGGTTGTGTGGTTGTGTGACCAGTCTGACAGTGTGACCAGTCTGGTTGTATGTGTGTGACCTGTCTGGTTGTGTGACCAGTCTGACAGTGTGACCTGACTTGGTCTAGTTGTGTGACCAGTCTGACAGTGTGACCTGTCTGGTTGTGTGACCAGTGTGACCTGTCTGGTTGTGTGACCAGTCTGACAATGTGACCTGTCTGGTTGTGTGACCAGTCTGACAATGTGACCTGTCTGGTTGTGTGACATGTCTGGGTGTGGGACCTGACTTGACAATGTGACCTGTCTGGTTGTGTGACCAGTCTGACAATGTGACCTGTCTGGTTGTGTGACCAGTCTGACAAGTGTGACCTGTCTGGTTGTGTGACCTGTCTTGGTATGTGACCAGTCTGTGACCTGTCTGGTTGTGTGACCAGTCTGACAATGTGACCTGTCTGGTTGTGTGACCAGTGTGACCTGTGTGACCTGTCTGGTTGTGTGACCAGTGTGACCTGTCTGGTTGTGTGACCTGTCTGACAATGTGACCTGTCTGGTTGTGTTGTGTGACCTGTCTGGTTGTGTGACCTGTCTGGTTGTGTGACCTGTCTGGTTGTGTGACCAGTCTGACAATGTGACCTGTCTGGTTGTGTGACCAGTCTGACAGTGTGACCTGTCTGGTTGTGTGACCAGTCTGACAATGTGACCTGTCTGGTTGTGTGACCAGTCTGACAGTGTGACCTGTCTGGACCTGTCTGTGTGACCTGTCTGGTTGTGTGACCAGTCTGACCTGTCTGGTTGTGTGACCTGTCTGGTTGTGTGACCTGTCTGACTTGTGTGACCTGTCTGGTTGTGTGACCAGTCTGGTTGTGTGACCTGTCTGACCAGTCTGTGTGACCAGTCTGGTTGTGTGACCTGTCTGGTTGTGTGTGACCTGTCTGGTTGTGTGACCTGTCTGGTTGTGTGACCTGTCTGGTTGTGTGACCTGTCTGGCAGTGTGACCTGTCTGACAATGTGACCTGTCTGGCAGTGTGACCTGACTGGTTGTGTGACCTGTCTGTGTGACCTGTCTGGTTGTGTGACCAGTCTGACAATGTGACCTGTCTGGTTGTGTGACCTGTCTGACAATGTGACCTGTCTGGTGTGACCAGTGACCAGCCTGACAATGTGACCTGTCTGGTTGTGTGACCTGTCTGGTTGTGTGACCTGTCTGACAATGTGACCTGTCTGGTTGTGTGACCTGTCTGACAATGTGACCTGTCTGGTTGTGTGACCTGTCTGGTTGTGTGACCTGTCTGGTTGTGTGACCTGTCTGACAATGTGACCTGTCTGGTTGTGTGACCTGTCTGGCATGTGACCTGTCTGACCTGTCTGGTTGTGTGACCTGTCTGGTCTGGTGTGACCTGTCTGGGTGTGACCTGTCTGATGTGTGACTAGTGTGACCTGTCTGGTTGTGTGACCAGTCTGACAATGTGACCTGTCTGGTTGTGTGACCTGTCTGACAATGTGACCTGTCTGGTTGTGTGACCTGTCTGACAATGTGACCTGTCTGGTTGTGTGACCTGTCTGGTTGTGTGACCTGTCTGGTTGTGTGACCTGTCTGACAATGTGACCTGTCTGGTTGTGTGACCTGTCTGACAATGTGACCTGTCTGACAATGTGACCTGTCTGGTTGTGTGACTAGTGTGACCTGTCTGGTTGTGTGACCAGTCTGACAATGTGACCTGTCTGACAATGTGACCTGTCTGGTTGTGTGACCAGTCTGTGATGTGACCTGTCTGACCTGTGTGACCTGTGGTTGTGTGACCTGTCTGGCAGTGTGGGTCATTGCTCATGATGCTAGTCCCACGTTTTCTCAGTCCAGGATGATATGGTTCTCAATTTGGAGACAAGAAATATAGATATGCATTTGTGACATGGTAATCATTCACTCCTAGATTGATATACATTGTATGTTTGGGTGGGTTTTAAATGACTGGAATCAAACTTGCTCAGGTTGAGAACTAGGCAGGCTTAGTCCCATTTAGCATCCTCAAGTTCATCCCACATCATCTGTGTGTGTGAACCTATTGTGAAATTAGCAAGTATTGGAGACAGCTCTGAATATAATTGAACGATGGTTGAGATTTTCATGACACCACCTGTTACATATACGTAAGTGGATAATGTCTATAAATCTATACTGAAGCCCTGTAACTTTATTCATCATATCCAAGCCAGTATTTGTGTGTTACCATATTCTGATAGTATTGTGTAATATGTTGAACATACGTGCAAAATATTGAAATGGTTCCTGTGGTAAATCCCAAAAATCTTGCCTGCATTGATCGCAGATTCTTAGCCTTGTAAATCTTTGTAAATCCCTTTTTGTTTTACAGAATTGTTCCCTATATTGGCTCATCAGAAACGTTACCTGCAGACACGCATACAAACGGAAACGAAAACAGAGCAAGCGACAAGGTGACAGTTCATATGACTGAGAAAGTACAAGACCTGTACAAAAGAAACAAACATGCACAGAAAACGATGCTTGGGGAAGGAATCGGCCTTCTTTTGTTTGGAACATGAAGCCAAATGAAAGGCTTTCTGTTGTCTGGAGCACAATACTACGAAAAGGGAAAGGCCTCCTCATGTTGACAATGTAAAATTATATAAGCAAAACCTGAGGAAAATCCTCAATGTTATGTTAACATCAAAGTAAGGGAAAGCTTTCTCATGTCCAGAAGACACCATGGGAAACTCTTTCTCATACATGGAACACAAAACTTAATGAAAGGATACCTAGTGTCCGAAACACACACCAATGAGAAATGAAAGACTTTGGTCCTCTGAAACCCTGAAAATATGGAGAAAGGACTCGTCATGTCTGGTCCACAGAACAAAGGGGAAGGTCATGGACCTAAAGGAAGGGAAAGATACCTCTTATCAGGTCGAAAAAGAAACAAAAATGAAATTGTGTAACCATCCAAAGTACTACTGATGTGTTCGTTCTATTTCAGAGTGCTACTATATACATTTGTGTCGGTCTTGTCTTGTAGCCATATTTCTGTGAGGGATGTCAGCATGAATGTGTGTTTGAGTGCTCATGGGAAGTGTGATTATTTTCCAAAATCGGAAATCGTGTCTTCACTGTATGTTTTTTTGTGTCAACACAACATGAACTGGACAAATGTGAATATAAATTGTGCTATGTCTTTTCCCCTGTAAGCTTGGTGTTTTTGAATCATGGACCAGGCTGTGCTGTTTACTTTATATTTTGCAACAGTTTACTTCTGTTTATTGTAGAAATGTCACATGGTCATATGATGCCACAGTAAAGAGATTTATTGTAGTCTTGTGTTGTTGGGATTCTCTGGATGACAAGACTGCCCGGTGGGGATGTAGGAACTCTTATTGTAGTCTTGTGTTGTTGGGATTCTCTGGATGACAAGACTGCCCGGTGGGGATGTAGGAGCTCTTATTGTAGTCTTGTATTGTTGGGATTCTCTGGATGACAAGGGATGTAGGAGGAGCTCTTATTGTAGTCTTGTGTTGTTGGGATTCTCTGGATGACAAGACTGCCCAGTGGGGATGTAGGAGCTCTTATTGTAGTCTTGTGTTGTTGGGATTCTCTGGTTGACAAGACTGCCCGGTGGGGATGTAGGAACTCTTATTGTAGTCTTGTGTTGTTGGGATTCTCTGGTTGACAAGACTGCCCGGTGGGGATGTAGGAACTCTTATTGTAGTCTTGTGTTGTTGGGATTCTCTGGATGACAAGACTGCCTCGATGGGGATGTAGGAGCTCTTATTGTAGTCTTTCTGTTGTTGGGATTCTCTGGATGACAAGACTGCCCGGTGGGGTTGTAGGGAGCTCTTATTGTAGTCTTGTGTTGTTGGGATTCTCTGGTTGACAAGACTGCCCGGTGGGGATGAAGGAACTCTTATTGTAGTCTTGTGTTGTTGGGATTCTCTGGATGACAAGACTGCCCGATGGGGATGTAGGAGCTCTTATTGTAGTCTTGTGTTGTTGGGATTCTCTGGTTGACAAGACTGCCCGGTGGGGATGTAGGAGCTCTTATTGTAGTCTTGTGTTGTTGGGATTCTCTGGATGACAAGACTGCCTTGATGGGGATGTAGGAACTCTTATTGTAGTCTTGTGTTGTTGGGATTCTCTGGTTGACAAGACTGCCCGATGGGGATGTAGGAACTCTTATTGTAGTCTTGTGTTGTTGGGATTCTCTGGTTGACAAGACTGCCCGATGGGGATGTAGGAACTCTTATTGTAGTCTTGTGTTGTTGGGATTCTCTGGATGACAAGACTGCCCGGTGGGGATGTAGGAGCTCTTATTGTAGTCTTGTGTTGTTGGGATTCTCTGGATGACAAGACTGCCCGATGGGGATGTAGGAACTCTTATTGTAGTCTTGTGTTGTTGGGATTCTCTGGATGACAAGACTGCCCGGTGGGGATGTAGGAGCTCTTATTGTAGTCTTGTGTTGTTGGGATTCTCTGGTTGACAAGACTGCCCGGTGGGGATGGGGATGTAGGAACTCTTATTGTAGTCTTGTGTTGTTGGGATTCTCTGGTTGACAAGACTGCCCGGTGGGGATGTAGGAACTCTTATTGTAGTCTTGTGTTGTTGGGATTCTCTGGTTGACAAGACTGCCCGATGGGGATGTAGGAGCTCTTATTGTAGTCTTGTGTTGTTGGGATTCTCTGGATGACAAGACTGCCCGGTGGGGATGTAGGAACTCTTATTGTAGTCTTGTGTTGTTGGGATTCTCTGGTTGACAAGACTGCCCGATGGGGATGTAGGAACTCTTATTGTAGTCTTGTGTTGTTGGGATTCTCTGGTTGACAAGACTGCCCGGTGGGGATGAAGGAACTCTTATTGTAGTCTTGTGTTGTTGGGATTCTCTGGATGACAAGACTGCCCGGTGGGGATGTAGGAGCTCTTATTGTAGTCTTGTGTTGTTGGGATTCTCTGGTTGACAAGACTGCCCGATGGGGATGTAGGAACTCTTATTGTAGTCTTGTGTTGTTGGGATTCTCTGGTTGACAAGACTGCCCGGTGGGGATGTAGGAGCTCTTATTGTAGTCTTGTGTTGTTGGGATTCTCTGGATGACAAGACTGCCCGGTGGGGATGTAGGAACTCTTATTGTAGTCTTGTGTTGTTGGGATTCTCTGGATGACAAGACTGCCCGATGGGGATGTAGGAGCTCTTATTGTAGTCTTGTGTTGTTGGGATTCTCTGGTTGACAAGACTGCCCGATGGGGATGTAGGAGCTCTTATTGTAGTCTTGTGTTGTTGGGATTCTCTGGATGACAAGACTGCCCGGTGGGGATGAAGGAACTCTTATTGTAGTCTTGTGTTGTTGGGATTCTCTGGATGACAAGACTGCCCGGTGGGGATGTAGGAGCTCTTATTGTAGTCTTGTGTTGTTGGGATTCTCTAGATGACAAGACTGCCCGATGGGGATGTAGGAACTCTTATTGTAGTCTTGTGTTGTTGGGATTCTCTGGATGACAAGACTGCCCGATGGGGATGTAGGAGCTCTTATTGTAGTCTTGTGTTGTTGGGATTCTCTGGTTGACAAGACTGCCCGGTTGGGATGTAGGAGCTCTTATTGTAGTCTTGTGTTGTTGGGATTCTCTGGTTGACAAGACTGCCCGGTGGGGATGTAGGAGCTCTTATTGTAGTCTTGTGTTGTTGGGATTCTCTGGTTGACAAGACTGCCCGGTGGGGATGTAGGAACTCTTATTGTAGTCTTGTGTTGTTGGGATTCTCTGGATGACAAGACTGCCCGGTGGGGATGTAGGAGCTCTTATTGTAGTCTTGTGTTGTTGGGATTCTCTGGATGACAAGACTGCCCGGTGGGGATGTAGGAACTCTTATTGTAGTCTTGTGTTGTTGGGATTCTCTGGATGACAAGACTGCCCGGTGGGGATGTAGGAGCTCTTATTGTAGTCTTGTGTTGTTGGGATTCTCTGGTTGACAAGACTGCCTGGTGGGGATGTAGGAGCTCTTATTGTAGTCTTGTGTTGTTGGGATTCTCTGGTTGACAAGACTGCCCGGTGGGGATGTAGGAGCTCTTATTGTAGTCTTGTGTTGTTGGGATTCTCTGGTTGACAAGACTGCCCCTGTGGGGATGTAGGAACTCTTACTGTAGTCTTGTGTTGTTGGGATTCTCTGGATGACAAGACTGCCCGGTGGGGATGTAGGAACTCTTATTGTAGTCTTGTGTTGTTGGGATTATCTGGGGGATGACAAGACTGCCCGGTGGGATGTAGGAACTCTTATTGTAGTCTTGTGTTGTTGGGATTCTCTGGATGACAAGACTGCCCGGTGGGGATGTAGGAGCTCTTATTGTAGTCTTGTGTTGTTGGGATTCTCTGGATGACAAGACTGCCCGGTGGGGATGTAGGAACTCTCATTGTAGTCTTTTGTTGTTAGGATTCTCTGGATGACAAGACTGCCCGGTTGGGATGCAGGAACTCTTATTGTAGTCTTGTGTTGTTGGGATTCTCTGGGTGACAAGACTGCCCGGTGGGGATTAGGAGCTCTTATTGTACACTTGTGTTGTATTGCTGGGATTTTGTGGACTTCTTTGTTGGGATTCAGGGATTCTTATTGTCCTATGCATTCAACAATGTCCTCAGATGTATGTCCCACGATCGTCTGCATTCTTGTTAATGAGATATCTAATGAACTGTTGTACCTAATGTCTTCAAATTTGGTGACCACCTACATTGGGGATTATGCAGAGTAGCCCACTGTCGATTTGGGTGACCTTGGCCTTATTTTCAAGGTCACCCGACACTTTGACCACTTTTCAAACTCTTGTTAGCATGATATCTCATGAACTGTTGCACCCAATGTCTTCAAATTTGGTGACAACCTACTTTAGGGGATTATGCAGACACCAGTTGATTTGGGTGACCTTGACCTTGTCTTCAAGGTCACCATGACACTTTGAACACTTTTCAAGCTCTTGTTAATCGCGATATTGTGGGTAGCCTGGTGGTTAAAGCTGCTCAAGCCTTGCAAGGTCTCAGTTGATTCCCCACTTGGGTACAACTTGTGAAGCCCATTTCTAGTGTCCCCGCCATGATATTACTGGAATATTGCTTCAAAAACGGCACAAACCATACTCAGTCAGTCAATCTTGTTAATGCGACATCTCTGGACTGTTGTACCCAATGTCTTCAAATTTGGTGACAGCCTACACATTGGGGATTTTGCAGACACCAGTTTATTTGGGTGACCTTGGCCTTATCTTCAAGGTCACCTTATGACACTTTGACCACTTTTCAAACTTAATTTTAAACTCGATATCTCATAAAACATTGCACCCAATGTTTTCAATTATGTCGACAGCCAACATTGGGTGATTATGCAGACACCAGTCATTTCAGGCATCTTGTATGTGACAACAACAAAAAAAAGTAGTAAATATAGATATTCCAGTCTATAGTGGCAGGGGACATTACCATATCAGTGGCAAACACTTGTTGTAGTCTTGTGTTGTTGGGATTCTCTGGATGACAAGACTGCTTTAGGGGGATTTAGGGATTCTTATTGTTGTCTTGTGTTGTTGGGATTCTCTGGATGACCAGACTGCTTTGAGGGGATTTAGGAACTCTTATTGTTGTCTTGTGTTGTTGGGATTCTCTGGATGACCAGACTGCTTTAGGGGATTTAGGGATTCTTATTGTGGTCTGTGTTGTTAAGATTGACTATGGTGATGAGAGATATGGATAAGGATAGTTGGGTTATCCTTAACTTCTTTTCAGTAGTAGATAAGAGGTGAAGATTGACTATGGTGATGAGAGATATGGATGAGGATAGTTGGGTTATCCTTAACTTCTTCTTCAGTAGTAGATAACAGGTGAAGATTGACTATGGTGATGAGAGATATGGATGAGGATAGTTGGGTTATCCTTAACTTCTTTTCAGTAGTAGATAAGAGGTGAAGATTGACTATGGTGATGAGAGATATGGATAAGGATAGTTGGGTTATCCTTAACTTCTTTTCAGTAGTAGATAACAGGTGAAGATTGACTATGGTGATGAGAGATAGATAGATAGTTAGATAACAGGTGAAGATTGACTATGGTGATGAGAGATATGGATAAGGATAGTTGGGTTATCCTTAACTTCTTCTTCAGTAGTAGATAACAGGTGAAGATTGACTATGGTGATGAGAGATATGGATAAGGATAGTTGGGTTATCCTTAACTTCTTCTTTAGTAGTAGATAACAGGTGAAGATTGACTATGGTGATGAGAGATATGGATGAGGATAGTTGGGTTATCCTTAACTTCTTTTCAGTAGTAGATAACAGGTGAAGATTGACTATGGTGATGAGAGATATGGATAAGGATAGTTGGGTTATCCTTAACTTCTTTCAGTAGTAGATAACAGGTATTGTTTAATTTTCTCACTTGGTACTAGCTAGCCATATTTACAGATGTCGATCCAACCAGATGGATATTTCGGACAGTAACATTAACGGCGCGACAAAGTACATCTAACGATACCCATGTAGATTCGGGTTAGAATTGATCTTCAGTAACCCATGCTTGTCATAAGAGGCGATCTGGTAGTCAGACTCGCTGACTTAGTTGAGACATGTCATTGTATCCCTATTGCACAGATCGATGCTCATGCTGTTGATCACTGGATTGTCTGGTCCAGACTCAATTATTTACATGTGGATTATTGCTGAGGGTGGCGTTAAACTAAACTCACTCACACACTCTTTGAAAGGCATTTAGAAGTGATACACGGATGTCAGTTTCTTTATTTGAGGAACACAAAGTTTCGGAGTATATTCTAACTCCTTCATCAGGCGAATGGGGGTAACTGGGAGCATATTGCCAGTTTTACATTACACTGAATATAGAAACAATCGTAAGTGTCATAGGTGTACATATATACCAACTGTAAATAACTGTAATAATAATCATATTATAGGATATTTATATAGTACTCATATCCACTAGTACATGCTCAAGGTGCAGTTCTTATTTCACTTTCAAACCAATTTATCAGCATCTGAAACCTGCTGTCATTTAATCCTGGGTATTAACTACAACATTTTGACTCATATGGGATTTGAGACATTAGACTCAACATCATTACCTGACTTGGCCATCTGACAACAAAAAATGAACTTTTGGTAACATTTGTGAAAGAAATTGTCAGGAGCAGTTAAACATTACACTGTATGATCACAGAATAAACCTGGGGATTCAGATCCTAGAAGATGTTATACTCAAAGGGGCCAACTTTCTAAATAACCAGCTAGAAGAAAGATCTAATGTGTGTGTAGTAGACACTTATTCAGATAGGGAACATGTACACATGTTTATGTGTGTCTCTTGTCTCAGCTGACAAACAATATGTTCTGTCCCTGTGAGTAGGTACATTATATCAGAGATAATAGAGACAAACATGTTGTACATTACTGGTCAGTCCTTCCCCCAGCCATCACCCAGCTATATGATAACGGTATATAACCTTGTTGACTGGCGACTAGAAGTTTGATAGTTACATAAAACATAAACAGTAGTGAGTCCTATTTTCCTCTCAAATATGGGTAAACAACAAGAAATTTGATAGTTACATAAAACATACTCAGTAATGGCACCTATTTTCCTCTCAAATACTGGTAAACAACAAGAAGTTTGATAGTTACATAAAACATAAACAGTAATCGCACCTATTTTCCTCTCAAATACGGGTATACAACAAGAAATTTGATAGTTACATAAAACATACTCTGTAATGGCACCTATTTTCCTCTCAAATACGGGTATACAACAAGAAATTTGATAGTTACATAAAACATAAACAGTAGTGAGTCCTATTTTCCTCTCAAATATGGGTAAACAACAAGAAATTTGATAGTTACATAAAACATACTCAGTAATGGCACCTATTTTCCTCTCAAATACGGGTATACAACCAGAAATTTGATAGTTACATAAAACATACTCAGTAATGGCACCTATTTTCCTCTCAAATACGGGTAAACAACAAGAAATTTGATAGTTACATAAAACATAAACAGTAGTGAGTCCTATTTTCCTCTCAAATATGGGTAAACAACAAGAAATTTGATAGTTACATAAAACATACTCAGTAATGGCACCTATTTTCCTCTCAAATACGGGTATACAACAAGAAATTTGATAGTTACATAAAACATACTCAGTAATGGCACCTATTTTCCTCTCAAATACTGGTAAACAACAAGAAATTTGATAGTTACATAAAACATAAACAGTAGTGAGTCCTATTTTCCTCTCAAATACGGGTAAACAACAAGAAATTTGATAGTTACATAAAACATACTCAGTAATGGCACCTATTTTCCTCTCAAATACGGGTATACAACAAGAAATTTGATAGTTACATAAAACATACTCAGTAATGGCACCTATTTACCTCTCAAATACTGGTATACAACAAGAAATTTGATAGTTACATAAAACATACTCAGTGATGGCACCTATTTACCTCTCAAATACTGGTAAACAACAAGAAATTTGATAGTTACATAAAACATACTCAGTAATGGCACCTATTTTCCTCTCAAATACTGGTAAACAACAAGAAATTTGATAGTTACATAAAACATAAACAGTAGTGAGTCCTATTTTCCTCTCAAATATGGGTAAACAACAAGAAATTTGATAGTTACATAAAACATACTCAGTAATGGCACCTATTTTCCTCTCTCAAATACTGGTAAACAACAAGAAATTTGATAGTTACATAAAACATAAACAGTAGTGAGTCCTATTTTCCTCTCAAATATGGGTAAACAACAAGAAATTTGATAGTTACATAAAACATACTCAGTAATGGCACCTATTTTCCTCTCAAATACTGGTAAACAACAAGAAATTTGATAGTTACATAAAACATAAACAGTAGTGAGTCCTATTTTCCTCTCAAATACTGGTAAACAACAAGAAATTTGATAGTTACATAAAACATACTCAGTAATGGCACCTATTTTCCTCTCAAATACTGGTAAACAACAAGAAATTTGATAGTTACATAAAACATAAACAGTAGTGAGTCCTATTTTCCTCTCAAATATGGGTAAACAACAAGAAATTTGATAGTTACATAAAACATACTCAGTAATGGCACCTATTTTCCTCTCAAATACTGGTAAACAACAAGAAATTTGATAGTTACATAAAACATAAACAGTAGTGAGTCCTATTTTCCTCTCAAATATGGGTAAACAACAAGAAATTTGATAGTTACATAAAACATACTCAGTAATGGCACCTATTTTCCTCTCAAATACGGGTATACAACAAGAAATTTGATAGTTACATAAAACATACTCAGTAATGGCACCTATTTTCCTCTCAAATACGGGTATACAACAAGAAATTTGATAGTTACATAAAATATACTCAGTGATAGCACCTATTTACCTCTCAAATACTGGTAAACAACAAGAAATTTGATAGTTACATAAAATATACTCAGTGATGGCACCTATTTTCCTCTCAAATATGGGTAAACAACAAGAAATTTGATAGTTACATAAAACATACTCAGTAATGGCACCTATTTTCCTCTCAAATACGGGTAAACAACAAGAAATTTGATAGTTACATAAAGCATAAACAGTAGTGAGTCCTATTTTCCTCTCAAATATGGGTAAACAACAAGAAATTTGATAGTTACATAAAACATACTCAGTGATGGCACCTATTTACCTCTCAAATACTGGTAAACAACAAGAAATTTGATAGTTACATAAAACATACTCAGTAATGGCACCTATTTACCTCTCAAATACTGGTAAACAACAAGAAATTTGATAGTTACATAAAACATACTCAGTAATGGCACCTATTTTCCTCTCAAATACTGGTAAACAACAAGAAATTTGATAGTTACATAAAACATAAACAGTAGTGAGTCCTATTTTCCTCTCAAATACTGGTAAACAACAAGAAATTTGATAGTTACATAAAACATACTCAGTAATGGCACCTATTTACCTCTCAAATACCTGTATACAACAAGAAATTTGATAGTTACATAAAATATACACAGTAATGGCACCTATTTTCCTCTCAAATACAGGCATACAACAAGAAATTTGATAGTTACATGAAATATACTCAGTGATGGCACCTATTTACCTCTCAAATACCTGTATACAACAAGAAATTTGATAGTCACATAAAATATACTCAGTGATGGCACCTATTTTCCTCTCAAATACTGGTATACAACAAGAAATTTGATAGTTACATAAAATATACACAGTAATGGCACCTATTTTCCTCTCAAATACTGGTAAACAACAAGAAATTTGATAGTTACATAAAATATACTCAGTAATGGCACCTATTTTCCTCTCAAATACTGGTAAACAATAATGGACTAAATAGGTACATAAAATATATGCAGTTATCATTCGTACTTTCCTCTCAAACACTGGTATTCAATAATAGATAAGACAGTTATATATATTGTATATATATATATATGTATATATATATATATATATATATATAAAAAGAAGTTTCTGAAATAATCACACACGACACGGATCTTCTCCTGAAGATAAAAGTGAAACATGTTGGAGAAGATCCGCGGTCGTATGATTATTTCAGAAACTTCTTATATATGTGCTACTGTACGCTCGGTATTCTCATCACTTTCTTTGTATTATATATATATATATATATATGTATATATGTATATGTATATGTATACAGTAATGGCTTAGATAATCTAATCAAATATATACAGTAATGGTTCAGATGTTCTCATCAAAAATATGAGTAATGGCTCAGACAGTTTTATCAAATATATACACTAATGATTCAGATAGTTTATCAATATATGCAGTAATGGCTCAGACAGTTTTATCAAATATATGCACTAATGATTCAGATAGTTTATCAATATATGCAGTAATGGCTCAGACAGTTTTATCAAATATATGCACTAATGATTCAGATAGTTTATCAATATATGCAGTAATGGCTCAGACAGTTTTATCAAATATATGCACTAATGATTCAGATAGTTTATCAAATATATGCAGTAATGGTTCAGATAGTTTAACAAATATATGCACTAATGATTCAGATAGCTTATCAAATATATGCAGTAATGGTTCAGATAGTTTATCAAATATATTCAGTAATGGTTCAGATAGTTTTATCAAATATATACACTAATGATTCAGATAGTTTATCAAATATATGCAGTAATGGCTCAGATAGTGTTATCAAATATATGCAGTAATGGTTCAGATAGTCTTATCAAATATATACAGTAATGGTTCAGATAGTTTATCAAATATATGCAGTAATGGCTCAGACAGTTTTATCAAATATATGCACTAATGATTCAGATAGTTTATCAAATATATCCAGTAATGGTTCAGATAGTTTAACAAATATATGCACTAATGATTCAGATAGCTTATCAAATATATGCAGTAATGGTTCAGATAGTTTACCAAATATATTCAGTAATGGTTCAGATGTTCTTATCAATTTATACAGTAATGGTTCAGATGATCTCATCAAATATATACAGTGATCGTTCAGTTAGTCTTATCAAATATATGCAGTAATTGTTCAGATGGTCTTGTCAAATATATGCACTAATGATTCAGATAGTCTTATCAAATATATGCAGTAATGGTTCAGATAGTCTTATAAAATATATACAGTAATGGTTCAGATAGTCTTATCAAATATATACAGTAATGCTTCAGGCAGTTTTGTCAAATATAAGCACTAATGATTCAGATAGTTTATCAAATATATACAGTAATGGTTCAGACAGTTTTATCAAATATATTCAGTAATGGTTCAGATGTTCTTATCAAATATATACAGTAATGGTTCAGATGGTCCCATCAAATATATAAGGTGATCGTTCAGTTAGTCTTGTCAAATATGTACAGTAATGGTTCAAATGGTCGTGTCAAATATATGCACTAATGATTCAGATAGTCATATCAAATATATGCAGTAATGGTTCAGATGGTCTTATCAAATATATGCAGTAATGGTTCAGATAGTTTTGTCAAATATATACAGTAATGGATCAGACAGTGTTATCAAATATCTAAAGTAATGGTTCACACAGTCTTGTCAAACATATACAGTGATGGTTTAGATGGTCTTATCAAACATATACGGTGATCGTTCAGTTAGTCTTATCAAATATATGCAGTAATGATTCAGGCAGTTTTGTCAAATATATGCAGTAATGGTTCAGATAGTTTATCAAATATGTGCAGTAATGGTTCAGATATTCTTATCAAATATATACAGTAATGGTTCAGATAGTTTATCAAATATATACAGTAATGGTTCAGATAGTTCATCAAATATATACAGTAATGGTTCAGATAGTTTATCAAATATATACAGTAATGGTTCAGATGTTCTTATCAAATATATACAGTAATGGTTCAGATGTTCTTATCAAATATATGCAGTAAAGGTTGAGATAGTTTATCAAATATATGCAGTAATGGTTGAGATAGTTTATAAAATATATACAGTAATGGTTCAGATGGTCTTATCAAATATATACAGTAATGGTTCAGATAGATTTGTCAAATATATACAGTAATGGTTCAGACAGTTTATCAAATATATGCAGTAATGATTCCGATGGTCTTATCAAATATATGCACTAATGATTCAGATAGTCTTATTAAATATATGCAGTAATGGTTCAGATGGTCTTATCAAATATATGCAGTAATGGTTCAGTTAGTCTTATCAAATATATGCAGTAATGGTTCAGATAGTCTTATGAAATATATACAGTAATGGTTCAGTTAGTCTTATCAAATATATGCAGTAATGGTTCAGATAGTCTTATCAAATATATACAGTAATGGTTCAGATGGTCTTATCAAATATATGCACTAATGATTCAGATAGTCTTATCAAATATATGCAGTAATGGTTCAGATAGTCTTATGAAATATATACAGTAATGGTTCAGTTAGTCTTATCAAATATATGCAGTAATGGTTCAGATAGTCTTATCAAATATATACAGTAATGGTTCAGATGGTCTTATCAAATATATGCAGTAATGGTTCAGATAGTCTTATCAAATATATACAGTAATGGTTCAGTTAGTCTTATCAAATATATGCAGTAATGGTTCAGATAGTCTTATCAAATATATACAGTAATGGTTCAGATAGTCTTATCAAATATATACAGTAATGGTTCAGGCAATTTTGTCAAATATATGCTGTAATGGTTCAGATAGTTTATCAAATATATGCAGTAATGGTTCAGATGGTCTTATCAAATATATACAGTAATGGTTCAGATAGTTTATCAAATATATGCAGTAATGGTTCAGATAGTGTTATCAAATATATGCAGTAATGGTTCAGATAGTCTTATGAAATATATGCAGTAATGGTTCAGACAGTTTTGTCAAATATATGCAGTAATGGTTCAGATAGTTTATCAATTATATGCAGTAATGGTTCAGATGGTCTTGTCAAATAGATGCAATAATGGTTCAGATGGTCTTATCAAATATATACAGTAATGGTTCAGATGGTCTTGTCAAATAATATACAGTAATGGTTCAGATGGTCTTATCAAATATATGCAGTAATGGTTCAGATAGTCTTATCAAATATGTACTGTAACGGTTCAGGCAGTTTTGTCAAATATATGCAGTAATGGTTCAGATAGTTTATCAAATATATGCAGTAATGGTTCAGATAGTCTTGTCAAATATATGCAGTAATGGTTCAGATAGTTTATCAATTATATGCAGTAATGGTTCAGATGGTCTTGTCAAATAGATGCAATAATGGTTCAGATGGTCTTATCAAATATATACAGTAATGGTTCAGATGGTCTTGTCAAATAATATACAGTAATGGTTCAGATGGTCTTATCAAATATATGCAGTAATGGTTCAGATAGTCTTATCAAATATGTACTGTAACGGTTCAGGCAGTTTTGTCAAATATATGCAGTAATGGTTCAGATAGTTTATCAAATATATACAGTAATGCTTCAGATGGTCTTATCAAATATATACAGTAATGGTTCAGATAGTTTATCAAATATATGCAGTAATGGTTCAGATAGTCTTGTCAAATATATGCAGTAATGGTTCAGATAGTCTGTGAAATATATGCAGTAATGGTTCAGACAGTGTTATCAAATATCTAAGGTAGTGGTTCACACAGTCTTGTCAAACATATACGGTGATGGTTTAGATGGTCTTATCAAATATATACAGTGATCGTTCAGTTAGTCTTATCAAATATATGCAGTAATGGTTCAGATGGTCTTATCAAATATATACAGTAATGGTTCAGATAGTCTTGTCAAATATATACAGTAATGGTTCAGATAGTCTTGTCAAATATATACAGTAATGGTTCAGATAGTCTCATCAAATATATGCAGTAATGGTTCAGATGGTCTTATTGAATATATGCAGTAATGGTTCACACAGTCTTGTCAAATATATGCAGTGATGGTTCAGATAGTCTTATCAAATACATAATAATCTTGTCAAATATTTACAGTAATGGTTCAGATAGTTTTGTCAAATATATGCAGTAATGGTTCACACAGTCTTGTCAAATATATGCAGTAATGGTTCAGATAGTCTTATCAAATATATACAGTAATGGTTCAGATAGTTTTCTCAAATATGTACAGTAATGGTTCAGATGATCTTACTGAATATATGCAGAAATTGTTCACACAGTCTTGTCAAATATATGCAGTAATGGTTCAGATGGTCTTATCAAGTTTATTCATTACTGGTTGAGATAGTCTTGTCAAATATATGCAGTAATGGTTCAGATAGTCTTGTCAAATATATGCAGTAATGGTTCAGATAGTCTTATCAAATATATGCAGTAATGGTTCAGATAGTCTTGTCAAATATATGCAGTAATGGTGCAGATGGTCTCATCAAATATATATACAGAAATGGTTCAGATAGTTTTATCAAATATATACAGCAATTGCTCAGATATTTTAATCAAATATATTCAGGAATGGCTAGGATTGAAGTTTTTATTCAAACTGGATAGTTTGAACCTACTTGTATTTCCAATTGAAACTACAAGCCTTCATGTTGTTGGACTTTTTATGAAAAAATAACAGCCTTGCAAAAATGTAATTTTTGTGGCAGATATGATGTTATTTTAGTCCATATTGTGAACAATAATTATTATTTCAAACACTTTCTGTGAAAATTTTACTTCCTTTTTATAAAGCCCTAGCTCCCTAATACTCAAATGATCGCTCCCAAAATATCAGTATCAAAGAGAGCCATTGGCAAACTACAATAGAAATAAAACACATTTGACACAATGATCATTTAAACTGTTGAAAAATGGATAAAAATGTGAACAACTAATCTCAAATGGTGAAGTTTATATACTGAGAGAAACAAATAAAGAAACGCAGGAAAATTCAAGTGTTCCTTTAATATTTTCCAGTTTTCATCACCAGCGCTGTGGGAGGAAATCTGAGAAATATATAAAGGAACACTACCATGACGTAGTGTTCCCTTATTTGTTTCCCTCAGTATAGTTCAAAATGATGTCACTCATGGGGTGCAGGATGTCAATGTAATATATAACTTGGTGGACCGATTTCATTGTGATAGTTACTAGACAAGTATATACACCTTCTACAATGCTGTTTTCTGTATTTGAACACCATTGAAATACACATTGAAATATGGATTGTCATGCAGACTTCAGGTCTCAGTACAGGTGCTACTATCATTCCTGAGTTGACAGATATGGTGTAAAGTCTATGTACATTTCAGTTTATCAGCACTGTACAACTGTATCACAAAACTAACGTCCCACTAGTGCCCACTGTTTAGATATGTACACTGAATATATACATGCAGTAAGTTGTCAAATGATGTGAATAATCCATTTAGCTGCATAATTAACAGATGATGTACCAGGAGTGTCAGGCATCCAGGATCCACCCAGTTGAGATTTAACTCACTCTCTACCAGGTGTGTGTGTGTCAGCAGAGACGAAACCGCCTCATCTTTTTCATAGGTTACTCATAATCCAGTCAGATCCTTCATTGGTGTCGTGGTACTTTGAGGGGGGTAGCCTCAACTTCCTGTGAACTTTCCTGAATTCTTTTTCTTCCATACCTGTGGAAATAACATGTTGTATAAGCATAACGTAGACACTTGAAGACATCATACACATTGAATGACTCCTTGTTTGGAGTTGTTTGGAGATAGATAGATAGATAAGGTAGGTAGGTAGATCAGATAGATAGATAAGGTAGGTAGGTAGATTAGATAGATAGACAGATAGATAGAGATAGAGAGTTAGACATATAGATCGATAGATATATATATATACAGCTAGATATGTAGGTAAGTAGGTAGATAGATAGAGTTAGATAGAGAGATATAGAAAGATAGTTAGATAGATAGGTCGATACAGATATATAGATAGGTAGGTAGATAGATTAGGTAGGTAGGTAGATAAGATAAATAAGATAGGTAGGTAGATTATATAGATATATAGATAGAGTTAGATAGCTAGAGAGAGAGATATAGATAGAGAGTTAGGTCGAGAGAGATATATAGATAGGTAGGTAGATAGATTAGGTATGTAGATTAGATAGATAAGATAGGTAGGTAGATTAGATAGCTAGAGTTAGATAGCTACAGAGAGAGATATAGATAGAGAGAGAGTTAGGTCGATAGAGATATATAGATAGGTAGGTAGATAGATTAGGTAGGTAGATTAGATAGATAAGATAGGTAGGTAGATTAGATAGATAGAGTTAGATAGCTAGAGATAGAGAGATATAGATAGAGAGAGAGAGAGAGATAGATCGATAGAGATAGATAGATAGTTAGATAGATAGATATATAGTTAGATATATATATATAGAGAGAGAGTTGGATATACATAAATAGATAGATACAGATATAGATATATAGATAGGTAGGTAGGTAGATTAGAGAGAGTTAGATAGAGACAGATATAGACAGATAGAGAGAGAGTTAGATAGATTGATAGAGTTAGATATAGATAGAGAGACAGAGAGAGAATTAGATATTCAGCCTGTAAATATATTATCTGGACAAGGTAATCTAGTGATTGATATCATGAGCAACAATCAACAAACAACCACGTCACCAAGTCTGACCACTGGATCCATCAATTCACCTCTTACTGATGATCACAGAAAGTACTGGTGACCAGTTATGGCTGAACGTTTAAACAGGAATGAGGTATTTGCAGTGCTGTTTCACATAATGCTCTGCGCATCCTAGCGTTATGGCAGTTTCAGAAAATACTTTTCATAACATCATATCCTCTCCCCATAACACATATTGAAGAATTCTAGAGCTGGTTATTGTGAATCATTTAAACAGGATTCTGCTACTAAAAGACTCATAATATTTCTGGCATCAAGGTGATCATGAAGAGAGTTTAAAGAATTTGAATAATGAATATTATTACTAACAGTAGCATTTTTTTGCATCATTGTCTTCTTACCTTTTAAGGTAGATCGATGATCATGCTGTTGAGACCCGATCATTTACAGACCGCTGCCATATAGCTGGAATATTGCCGAGTGCGGCGTAAAACTCAACTCACTCACTCACTCTTACCTTTTAAGGTAGAACGATGATCATGCTGCTGAGACCCGATCATTTACAGACCGCTGCAATATAGCTGGAATATTGCCGAGAGCGGCATTAAACAACAACCAACTTACCTTTTATGGAGGATGTTTTTCACCCCTCGGCTGCTGCATACTTCAAGTGGGGATTTCCCGTAAACGTCTCTGACGTCAGCATCTGCACCTGCTTCCAACAGTCTCGACACAAGGCCTTCATATCCTCCTTCACTGGCATAGTGTAGCGGAGTACTATTATCAGAATTCACAGGCGATAGCGAGACCCCATGTGCTATCAGCAGATCCAACAATACGCCAAGATGTCCTTGTTTGCAAGCCACATGAAGTGGCGTCCCCTACGAAAGCAGTTCTTGGTTCCAGCAGTGCCCCAGCTTGTATGAGAAGCTCAACACATTCAGAATGTCCTTCATAGCAGCAGCTATGTAACGGGGTCTCAAGTTCGGCCCCACTGTCCATCTGAACTCTGTTCTCATGACTTGTACAACCACCCTCCATCTTGTCCTTGTCCATGTCACTTGCACAACTGCCCTCAGTCCTGTCTCTACGTATGTTTCCTATATCGGAATCACTACGTCTGTGATTAATATCAACATCATACTTAAGTAACAGTTTCACTGTGTTAATGTAATTGTACGTACAAGCCACAAGGAGGCAGTAGTTTAGATTGTTCATGAATGTTTTCTTCCGTAAGAAGCCCTGATTTTGGTTCTGTGAACACTGAACTTGTATTTGCAGCCATGACCGATGAAGCAACAACTCCACAATGGACTCATGTTGTCGATCACAGGCTAACATCAGAGGGGTCTTTTCTGAATTGTTTGCTGCTAGAATATCACTCCCCATGTTGAGAAGTGCTTTGACAGCATCAGCATGTCCTTCATGACATGCTACATGAAGAGCAGTATCACCGTGCTTGTTACACTGTGTGTCCCTCGCTCCCCACTTAGCCTGGAGAACCACCACATCACACACACCAGCTCTGGCAGCTACATGCAGAGGTGTATCAAGAGCACTGTCTAATGCATTGATATCTGATCCAGCCTTCAATAAAACTTCAGCAACATCCCTGTGTCCTTCCAGACAAGACAAATGAAGTGCTGTTTGTCCGTCATTGGTTTTTGCCTGGAGATCAGGGTCAGATTCCAGCAGAAGCTTCACAACATCCACGTGGCCCTTCCAACTGGCTACATGCAAAGGTGTCATATTGTTAGAATCACTGACAGTAGATGATGACGATTCTTGCAAAATCAGTTTGACTATGTTTGCACTTCCACTTGAACATGCATTATACAAGGGTGTCTTTCCTTGCTTATTTCTAGCATCGCAGCTGTATCCTCGTCTGATCAAAGTTCTCACCATTTCAAGGGTCTCGGTTTCTGCTGCAATGTGTAAGGGTGTGTTACCATGGGAGCCAATATCAATCTCTTCAGCCATCATCAGTCTCATGAAGTCTTCTCTGCCTGCTTGTCTGATAAACTGCTGTAGATGCGGCACGGACAGATCCATGGCAGAAAAGTAACAGTATTCTGTCATTATGTAATGGATCATGTCATAGTTTTCATGGCTGACTGCTTCGTGGAAAGGTGTTCTTCCTTCATAATTCTTTGAAGTAATCACATCATCTGTGTTGTTTATTAGCTTTAACAATGGTAGATTCCCCTCCTTGCATACTATATGAAGAGGAGTATTACCACTTTTGTCAACAGCTAAAGCACTAGCTCCAGCTCCTAAGAGTTTTTCAACTACGTTCACATTCCCACCATAGCATGCAATGTGCAGAGCAGTTTGATGAAAGCTGTTTACCATTTCAACATCAACATCGTTATCCAAAAGAATGCACAAGTTTCCTAGATTCCGTTCACATGTTACAAGGTGAAGTGGAGTATTTCCATTTTTGTCACGCAGTGACAAAACCTTGACCTTGTCCTTGTTGTGAATTGCATCCATCATAGCTTTAAGACATGATCCATGGCAAGCAATATGCACTGGTGCCTCTCCATGATTATTTAATACATGCAACCAGGCTTCAGCTATTATCAATAACTGTACTATCTCTTCCGATCCTTCCATACAGGCAATATGAAGAGCAGAATTTCCATCACTGTCTTTTTCAGCAAAAACAATCTCCGAATTGTAAAGTAACTGTATTTTGTTGTCCCGGCAAATGTGATGGAGAGATGTCATGCTTATTCGTGGACGACACTTTGACACAGCACACCAGTGGTCATATACACATGTTACTCCATAGTGCGTATTGATGATTGCAAGATCAAGTGGACTCATTGCTCTTGTGTTCTTTTCATTCAAACTAAGTCCCTTCTCAATCAGGACTTTAGCTATTTCAAACTGACCACGAGCACATGCTGCATGGAGAGCTGTATTTCCATTGGTGTCTTTTGTCTGGATATCTATTCCTTTACCAATCAAGTTATTCATCAGTTCAATATTTCCTACTTTGCAGACAACATGAAGCATTGATTCCCCTAGTCCAGTTGTCTTTGATAAATCAAATCCTAACTCTAAAACTTTCTCTAACGTGTCTATTTCACAGTCTTCCATTTCACATAACATTTGCAATGCTCCTTCCAAATTCATCTTGCAGTTTGATGTCCAGCCCTGTATCCGAAAGTACAGGTAAAAGTTTAATGTGGTTTGGCGCTGATGACACTTGCGACAAGAGAAGTCACGTGGAAGGGATGACATAGAACTGCCTGGAATGAAATCGGATCAACCTCTTCACTATCTCAGCATGTCCCTTGAACATGCCCTTTCAAGCAATGACATGACGTTTTTCCATTTCATGAAGGAACGATCTTGTTTTGTCTAATAACATGTTAACAATAGCAAGGTGGCCCCACAGAACTGCATGGTGTAATGGAAGCTTCCATTGTCATTTCTCCGTATTGGGTCAGCTCCACAAGAAAGCAACAACTTCACAACCTTCACATGACCCCCAGCAGATGCTCGGTGTAAAGGAGTATTGCCCCGAAATCCTGCAACATTGACACAAGCACCATTCTCTAGCAAGAGTGCAACACAGTCAAAATGCCCGGCTTCAGAAGCATAGATTAGCGGTGTGTATCGCTTCCCCAGAAAATGGTTCAATGTCCGCTGATGACTTCATCAAAGCATCAGCAATATCTCTGTGTCCGTCTCTACATGCGAGATGCAGTGGAACGAGTAAATGTGTATCAGGCACATTTACATTGACTTCACTTTTAATCAAGACTTCAACTATTTTCAAATGGCCCTCAGCACATGCAATATGTAGTGGGGTCTGCTTGTCCCTGTCAGTCACATTTACATCAGCTTGGTGAGCTAAAAGAATGTTCATAATTTCTGCATTTCCATTCTCTGCTGACTTATGAAGTGCATATTCGTGGTTCTTGTTGCAAACAACCACACTTGCTCCTCTGCTACAAAGTACACCAACACTTTCCAAACAGCCTTTCATGCATGCCATATGCAGAATGGTATTTCCGTCAGAATCCATCCCATTTATGTCCCATGTCACTGAACAAAGAACACTGAATAATGTTTTTAGTTTCACTGCATGATAGAGAGGTGTGTGTCCATTTTTATCAGTCATGAATACAGAAGCCTTGTACTGAAGCAGTAATTTAACAACTTCTGCACGTTTATTTCTACATGCAACATGAAGGGGTGTTTCACATCATTGTTAAGAAGATGAAGAACATCACCAGCATACCTACGATTACAAAAGTGTTCCTGTGCTTGATCATGATATCCATTGTCTGTTTCCACCCAAATATAATGAAGAAACAGCTGAAGTAATTTCTCTTGATCAGACTGACACACAGAGTGCAGAACTGTATTTCCATTGACATCCTTTGTTGTTATGTCTGCACCTAAGCTTAACAACAGTTTGGCAACATTGACATATCCTCAGAATCTATACATGCAACAAACAAAGGTGTTTTTCCATTGACATCCTTTGTTGTTATGTCTGCACCTAAGCTTAACAACAGTTTGGCAACATTGACATATCCGTAGAATTTACATGCAACAAACAAAGGTGTTTCGATCGCTTGTTGGTTTGTGACACACCAATGTTTTTGGCAATGACCTCCACTAAACTACATTCCCCTACTTCACATGCTAAGTGCAGTGAAGTGTTGTCATCATAATCATGCGTGCATTGACATCCACACCATGGCTAAGTAGCAGCTCGGCAAGAACAACATTTTTCACTTTGAGTGCTTCGTGAAACATACTCCAGAGTGATTAGATCCACATCTTAGCAGGACATTACAGACTTCTACCAATCCATAATGACATGCTTTCTGAACTAATGTGTCACTGGAATCATGAACATGCGGGATGCAGTGCAGCATTTGAAAAACTGCAATGTGACGCTTCTCTATAGCTGCTGACATGAGACTCAAGAGAAGATCATTGGAGAACACTGGCGTCGCGTATTCTGTGATCAACCAAACGCCATATGCATCACCCTTCACAACAGCTTTCTCCAGTGAAGACTGACATAGCCTGCCTGGGAAAGATTTCTGATCAGATCTATCACAAACATGTTTTACTATATCTTGACTTTCAGAAGAAAAGACCCAATCAATCAATGATCTGTGACAATAGTCGGACAACGATGTTACATGTTTAGGTAACACTTCTTTCAGCAACAAAGAGACAACTTCTCTTTCTCCTTTGGTAAACCAACCTGCCGATATGTTCATATTATATCCTAAAGCAGATACATCCACCCCTTTCTCTATCAACAGCTTGACTATATCAATATGACCATTCTTACAGGCCCATGACAGAGGTGTGTCACCAGCAGCAGCAGATACATCAGTCCCTTTCTCTATCAACAGTTTGACTGTATCAATATGACCATTCTTACAGGCCCATGACAGAGGTGTGTTACCATGACCATCAGCAGCAGATACATCAGCCCCTTTCTCTATCAACAGTTTGACTATATCAATATGACCATTCTTACAGGCACATGACAGAGGTGTGTTACCATGACCATTAGCAGCAGATACATCAGCCCCTTTCTCTATCAACAGTTTGACAATATCAATATGACCAGTCACACAGACCCATGACAGAGGTGTGTTACCATGACCATCAGCAGCAGATACATCAGCTCCTTTCTCTATCAACAGTTTGACTGTATCAATATGACCATTCTTACAGGCCCATGACAGAGGTGTGTCACCATCACAATCAGCAGCAGATACATCAGCCCCTTTCTCTATCAACAGTTTGACTGTATCAATATGACCATTCTCACAGGCCCATGACAGAGGTGTGACACCAGCAGCAGCAGATACATCAGCCCCTTTCTCTATCAACAGTTTGACTATATCAATATGACCAGTCACACAGACCCATGACAGAGGTGTGTTACCATGACCATCAGCAGCAGATACATCAGCTCCTTTCTCTATCAACAGTTTGACTGTATCAATATGACCATTCTTACAGGCCCATGACAGAGGTGTGTCACCATTACAATCAGCAGCAGATACATCAGCCCCTTTCTCTATCAACAGTTTGAATGTATCAATATGACCATTCTTACAGGCCCATGACAGAGGTGTGTAACCATCACCATCAGCAGCAGATACATCAGCCTCTTTCTCTATCAACAGTTTGACAATATCAATATGAACATTCTTACAGGCACATGACAGAGGTGTGTCACCACCACCATCAGCAGCAGATACATCAGCCCCTTTCTCTATCAACAGTTTGACTGTATCAATATGACCGTTCTCACAGGTCAATGACAGAGGTGTGTAACCATCACCATCAGAAGCAGATACATCAGCCCCTTTCTCTATCAACAGTTTGACAATATCAATATGACAATTCCCACAGGCCCATGACAGAGGTGTGTAACGATTACCATCAGCAGCAGATACATCAGCCCCTTTCTCTATCAACAGTTTGACAATATCAATGTGACCATTCTTACAGGCCCATGACAGAGGTGTGTAACGATAACCATCAGCAGCAGATACATCAGCCCCTTTCTCTATCAACAGTTTGACTATATCAATATGACCATTCTCACAGGCCCATGACAGAGGTGTGTAGCCATAAACACCAGCAGCAGATACATCAGCCCCTTTCTCTATCAACAGTTTGACTATATCAATATGACCATTCTCACAGGCCCATGACAGAGGTGTGTAACCATAACCACGAGCAGCAGATACATCAGCCCCTTTCTCTATCAACAGTTTGACAATATCAATACGACCATTCTTACAGGCCCATGACAGAGGTGTGTCACGATAACCACGAGCAGTAGATACATCAGCCCCTTTCTCTATCAACAGTTTGACAATATCAATATGACCATTCTCACAGGCCCATGACAGAGGTGTGTCACGATAACCACGAGCAGTAGATACATCAGCCCCTTTCTCTATCAACAGTTTGACAATATCAATATGACCATTCTCACAGGCCCATGACAGAGGTGTGTCACCATTACCATCAGCAGCAGATACATCAGCCCCTTTCTCTATCAACAGTTTGACTATATCAATATGACCATTCTTACAGGCCCATGACAGAGGTGTGTAACGATAACCACGAGCAGTAGATACATCAGCCCCTTTCTCTATCAACAGTTTGACAATATCAATATGACCAGTCACACAGACCCATGACAGAGGTGTGTTACCATGACCATCAGCAGCAGATACATCAGCTCCTTTCTCTATCAACAGTTTGACTGTATCAATATGACCATTCTTACAGGCCCATGACAGAGGTGTGTAACCATCACCATCAGCAGCAGATACATCAGCCTCTTTCTCTATCAACAGTTTGACAATATCAATATGAACATTCTTACAGGCACATGACAGAGGTGTGTCACCACCACCATCAGCAGCAGATACATCAGCCCCTTTCTCTATCAACAGTTTGACTGTATCAATATGACCATTCTTACAGGCACATGACAGAGGTGTGTCACCATAACAACCAGCAGCAGATACATTAGCCCTTTTTTCTATAAAGAGTTTGGCAACACCAGTATGTCTTTCTCTCACACCTATTCCAAGAGGTGTGGTTTTACCAGCTGAAACGGACCTACCAGCGTTGTGTTGTAAAAGTGTCCTCACAATCTCTGAGTGTCCATTCTGACATGCTACATGCAAGGGAGTTTGTGAGCCATCAACTGGCAATGGATATGCTATTCTATCCAGCAATAGCTGTAAAACATTGGAATAACCTTTACTACATACAACATGTAATGGTGAACAGTTGTCAAAGTTTAGTATGGTGAGATCTGCATTTCTTTTAAGCAGAATATCAACAACATCTATTCTTCCCTCTTGGCAGGCTAGATGAACAGGTGTGTTTCCATCTTTATTCCTGGGAGAGATCTTACACATTTTTGCTACTATCAAAACACTCCTTTTATGGCCGGCTTTACAAGCTAAGTGGAGGGGAGTGTTAAAGTTGCAGCTCCACCAGACTGAGATCAGCCTGCTTTCCATCAGACACGTTAATACTTCTGTATGTCTCCGCGGTGCTGCTACAGCAGCTGGTGTTGATCTGGCAGCGACGTGTCCTGCCTCACCAGCTGGGGCTCCAGCTGGGCATTTACATCACATCCATACTGAAGCAGCAGCTGAACGATGTCTGCATGTCCGTAATAGGAGGCAGAGATGTAGTGGGGAAGATGATGAGTTTGGAGACATTCAGTTTGCCCCTTACAAATGTCAATGCCATAGACTACTTGTAAGCCGGGTGACAAGGATAGAATTACATCCAGTTCCATATCTTCTAGAAGTAGATGCAGTATTTCTGAATTGCCACTCACACAACACGGTATGACACATTCCTTCCTCTCCTCTTCAGTCATGTAACTTGAAAGCACTTTGTATAATTCAGCATTTCTTCCAAAACATATCCAGTTCAGGAAGGTACCACCATGAGTTTTATCACATGTTTTAAAAAGTTCTCTTACATTTCTGTGTACTGAGGTACCCATTCCAATGGATCGTACTAATGTTGAAGCAAAAGTATGCTTTCCACAAGCTTGATGAGTCAAAGTAAAAGCAAAGTTGTGTTTTTCTATCTCTGTTGCAAAGTGTAATGCCAAATCCTTCTGTCTGCTCTTATCCAAGTAAATGGTAAATCCTGGGTCATTCTTCAAAGACGCCCAGAGCACCTTCACGTGTCTGTATATAAACAAAGGATCTAGTTCACAGATATATTCAACAGCAGCAGCCTTGATGATTGCTTCTACATGAAATTGTGTATCTTTATACCTGAACTGTACTACTGTATCCTGTGATGTGAGCAATGACCCAGTCAGGCCATGTAAGCACTGTCTAAACTGATCTTTACTCATTTCGTCAATTCTGGTCAATTGACAGGACCACCTCATGTGCCCCTGTAGAGGGCACTCTTCTGCTGCATCATCCGGGTTTGAAGTCATCAGTTTTCCTTTCTCCAAACAAAGTAGCATCAGAGCTGAAAAGTTTGGCTTCTGGCTTTCAAATAAAGCCTCACACTGTGACCGTGTTGAAACATGATCTGCAAGAGACGATGGTTAAAAAAAACGTGAATCATATTACCGCGACAATACATCAATATTGGGGTAATTTAGTTTTAGGACCGAGCAGGAAATAGATTTTCATATCCTGTTTGAAAATAGGTAGTCGCAAACTACAAACTGAGGGTTCTAAAGAAATGTCAAAAATTGAATTCATAGAAGCTACTGGTATTTGTAATTTCTTTTCAACAGACATATATTTTATCTTATTAGGCAACCTTTTAGATCATGTTGGTAGATCATGAACAATCTCGTTAAAATACTATCCCAGTTCTTGCTACCACTAAACATGATGAATCATGATGGAGGATATCGTATTCGGGTTATTGTCAGAACAAGTTACCTCAGACCAATCAGAGTGTTGCTTACCAGATCTGTAAAGTGACATTTGGAATGTATTTCTAATCATAGATCTACAAAAGGGTTACCACTGATTCTGTCCAAATTCAATTGACACAACATATTCTTTCAATAGTCCCTGAAAATTATCGTAAAGTATTAGACATTCGAGAATCTTCTTTCGTCCAGGTTTTTACTTTTGAAACGAGACATTTGTCAAGTACTTTTCAAAGTATAGTCTGGAATGAAAGTTGCTGTTTGTAACAAGATCCATAATGCTTACATGTGAAAGCTGCTTTCTGATTGACCAGAGTTGACCTTTTTTCTGAGAAAGGGTTACTTATGACAGAGCATGTTTAAAAACAACCCCGTTTTATGAAATTGGGTACATAATTGGAGTAAGACAGTGTCAAAAGGAACAGGCCAGTACCCCCGTTTTGTACCAGAATGAGGTAATAAGGGGATTTATCTGGAACAAATGGTATCAGAACATGTTCAGTTGGGATGGCAATCAGTTTCATTGAGGTTGGTCATGAACTTTGTTAAAAAGTGAAGTTAGTCACTTATCGTTATGAAGTATTTATATGAAACTCAAGGACAATAGTATAGTGTATCCAGTCTTGACTGTCCTCTGAAATTTGTTCTGAATGGATCACTAAAACTCAGTGTTGACACCAGGTGTTCAGTGGTCAGTGGTAAGCATTTCCTGCCCTACCTGTAGCACCCACCATACCACTCTTTCAAACAATCAAACTTATGTCTGATTGAAAAGATGTATTCTGTGTACTAAAAATACTTTACTAAAAAAGAGCTTACCAAGAGTGTTTACACAAGACCCTGATTCCATCTGCCCTGAGTGATCCTGTACAGAATCCTTTGCAACTTCAATCTTCATATCTTCCTCGTTTGTCTGAGACCCATTACATTCATATGGGATGCTACTTCTAACACTGTAGTTTCTGTCTCTAGTTGTCTCTACATGGCCAAGGGAAGTGGCATCTGAATGAACATGATCTATTTCAGCCATGGAAGAACCTGTACTCTCCTCCTTGGATAATAGAGTTTTCGCTGAAACGTTTACATTTTCAGTTTCATTCATTTCACAATCCATAGGTGTCGGCCTACAGCCTGACACATCAGGTGTCAGTTCACTGCCTGAAACACCAGGTGTCAGATTACTGTTCGACACGTCAGGTGTCGATTCACTGCCAGACACATCAGTTACTTGGATCTCTTCCTGGGCAAATTCCATTGACATCACAGTTTCTGCTTGCTCATCAACAGCCAGCACCACAGCGGACATCAGCCTCTGTTTCACATACTGTCGATACGCAGCCACATGGCAGTTCCTCATCAAGCATGGGGAGACTCTTGCAGCAAGGGCTTCTGCAGCCTGAAACAAGAGTCATCAAGAGATGACACATCACCCGATCTGGTGAAGTTAATAATAATGAACCCTCTCTGCTGCATTTTACATCTAAATCAGTAAAAAATAATAATAGGACATTTATGTAGCACCTTACCACGTCACTGGGATATGCTCAAAGCGCTTCCTGAGCTCAAGTAAAAACTATATACAGATGGCAGGTACAGATGATTAGAAGTCACTTGTAGCGGAGAAATAGATGAGTCTTTAGTCGTGTTTTGAATCTACTTAGGGAAGGAGATGATTTTAACTCGATAGGGAGAGAGTTCCAGAGAGAAGCCGCTGCTTATGAAAAGGTTCTTGAGCCAAATGATTTGAGATTGTAGTTCGGGACAGCAAGTAACAGTGGTTGTGATGAGCGCAGAGTTCTTTCTGGAGAGTAATGTGTCAGAAGGTCTTGAAGGTAGGAAGGTCCTGAGTTGTAGAAAGACTGATAGGTGAGGCAGAGAATGAGGCAGAGAAGTTACTAAAGGAGTTTGGCTGCTTCTGCCCCACATTTAGCGGTCTGTAATTAGATAGTTCCAAGTTTTTGAGTACACAATTAACAATGTTCAGTATTTGCTAAACCCCAAAGCATCAAAAGACACCTGTTCACCACAAGACCGATCAGTGAATTTAAAAATTTCATCTTGAAATATTCAAAGTATTAGGAGTTCTGCTCTACTCTTATTTACAATACAAATACCTTTTGTCATAGTGAAAACATAAATGTTATAGAATACAAAATATCCCAAATCATCAAAAAAGGCTTAGGGGTTCATCGCCTCCTCATTATAATAAGTGTCATCATGAATTTACTCTGCAGTTTGGAAGTTCTACTCGAAAACGGGGATGGGCAGATGGATGGAAGCACATGTTGATCTCTTTATCCCCCTTTTCAATACAAGGGCATAACAAGTACACAGAAATCATGGTCAGGAAAATGACAGTTTTGGGTTGGTCAGCCATTTCTATTTACTATTTGTCCACAACTAAACCAGAAACAAATAGCTGTGAACACTTGTTATAATTAACTCATCTCAAAATGATACTGTGTCATATAAGTGTATGGCAGCTGAACACAGAAATTATTTCCCAGCAAGTGAAAATATCTCAACAGACAGGATTACTTGGCTACAGCTTTGACAGACACTTTGAAAGTACACATTATAGACTTCATCTGATTGAAGGGAGATAACTCAGGATTACACAGGCGTCACAACTGGTCTGCTTACCACACATTTACCTGATAGAAGTCAGATAATGGTGAGACAAGGGTTGAGTAAAGACTCATCACTGACATGGTGAGTATACTGTCATCACTGACATGGTGAGTATACTGTCATCACTGACATGGTGAGTATACTGTCATCACTGACATGGTGAGTGTACTCTCAACACTGACATAGTGAGTGTACTCTCATTACTGACATAGTGAGTATACTGTCAACACTGACATGGTGAGTATACTATCATCACTGACATGGTGAGTATACTCTCATCACTGACATAGTGAGTGTACTCTCATTATTGACATTGTGAGTATACTGTCACCACTGACATTGAGTATACTGTCATCACTGACATGGTGAGTATTCGCTCATCACTGACATGGTGAGTATACTGTCATCACTGACAAAGTGAGTCTACTGTCATCACTGACATGGTGAGTATACTCTCATCACTGACATAGTGAGTGTACTCTCATTAATGACATTGTGAGTATACTGTCACCACTGACATTGAGTATACTGTCATCACTGACATGGTGAGTGTACTCTCATCACTAACATGGTGAGTATACTGTCCCCGCTGACATGGTGTGTATACTGTCCCAAAGGAAATTACATGATTTATAAGGATCTTCTCACCATGAGAACGAAGACTCCACAGCTGCTGCCATCTGTCTGTGGGAACACTGGGCACTGCACCAGACTCCAGGACCTGAGTTCTTCTTCCATGACCCTGCTCCGGCACTCCATATACTTCCTGCATAAAAGGCAAAAGGAAATGTTATCAGTCAGTCTGTCTGCCTCGAAGTGTAATACCTGCAAGCACGAACATTCTAAGATACACAATATAATTCTTGTGTGGAAAGTATGTATGAACTTTCATCATACACATTTAGTATTTTTCAAAATTTGACCTGATAACAAGGATGATGTTGAAAACAAGTTACCATGATTCTCATGTGAGTGACCGACACATGTCATGTGAGTGACCACCCCCAGGAGGAGATTCCAGATAATGAGTGAGTGAGTGAGTTTGATTTTACGCCGCACTCAGCAATATTCCAGCTATATGGTGGCGGTCTGTAACTAATCAAGTCTAGACCAGACAATTCAGTGATCGACAGCATGAGCATTGATCTGCGCAATTGGGAACCGATGACATGTGTCAACCAAGTCAGTGAGCCTGACCACCCAATCCCATTAGTCGCCTCTTACGACAAGCATGGGTTACTGAAGATCAATATTCTAACCCGGACCTTCACAGGTAAATTCGATAATGTATCAACTTACATCCAGTGCTGGGAAACTTCTGTTTCCAGATCTTTTGAAGGTCGAGAGTTAATAACACACACTGTTCTGTCCCGGACATTGGCTGCAAGCAGAAGCCAGTGACTGTTGACACAGATGGGCATCAGCAGCAGGTCGTACTTCTTGAACTCAGTCTGTAACGAGCAGACATTGTTTATGTCAACTGTTGTGATAGTGTTTACAAGTATTTAAAACAGTGCAGTATTTACAGTGCATTGTTTCATTTAAGATTCAGCTCAGGGAAGTGCTGTGGAGCAAGACCGGTGTGGAAATGTCTTGGAATATTACGTAATATTCTAGTGGAGGTTGACCTAGAAAGTTAGAGAAAGTTCTGGAGGCTAATTCATATATAAGATGGGCATGATCTTGCTACAGTCATTTCACAGTACAAGACCAGCAGTTGTGTGAAGATCAATTTTCTCCCTGGCTACTCAGCTTTGGCCCATTCTGCAGACTTGACCACTGTTGCAGTGACGTGAAGTTATTACCATCACTGTCTTTCCTCCTATAATCACTGCTTTAATATGTGACAGACATACCTCCACAGAATGTGTACAGCTACTTCATTTTGTACTGCCATAGTAATTCCTTTGTACTGATTTGTAATAATTTGTGAACCATGTGAAGTTTTTTTGACAATTGTTAATTGTATCACATTTCGTTGCTGTCTAGTGTTCGATTTTTTACAGATAACTTAATGTTTCGATTTGGAAATCAACATCTAACAATGTGTTGTGAAGGAATTTGATCTAACACATCTAAATCACAATAATAGATGACGATATCAATGATGATGATGATGATGACGATGACGACGATGACGATAATGATGATGATGAAGACAATTATGATGATGAAGATGACGATGATGACGATGATGATGATGACAATGATGATGCTGATGATGATGAAGACGACGACGATGACAATGATGATGATGACGACGATAATGATGATGATGATGATGTTGATGTTGATGACAATGATGATGATGATGACGATGACGATGACAAATGTGATGATGAGGTTGATACTACCATGTAAAGTGATATAATTTATGTTCGGATATCAACCCATGATTACTGCATTTCTTTTCACTATGTTTTGTTTTGTGTCTAATAATATATACCTGTTCATGTAACCACTGAGAGTAGTTGTGCTTTTCCCACAGTTTATACTGGAAACATTCCATTATCCAGACAGCTTGTGATCTGGCATCAGTGTGTTGCTTCTGGACCAGGGACAGATAGGCATGGACGACCTGCAACAGCAAAAAACACAAGTCCTTGTAAAACAAAACATTTGAAATGAACTGATCCTAAATGGAAATCAACAAACTACAATATGTGATGTAATTTGATATTAAAATATCAACAGAAACATGGCTGTTTATGCATAAAATTATATTAATTCTGAGGCACAGGAGACCCTGTTCTCTAAGAAGTCTTAATTCTCTGTGTAGCGTTCCAGTTGTCGTTGAAACCCAAGATAAACAGTGATATTGATTTTTCGTTTGCCAGCACCATATCCATGCCCTATTATTTCACTAAAGCGGTAAAGGTGTAACACATGCATAATGGATTCCTTTCATCTTCCATAAAACTGGCACGGAAAAGCCATTCAAAATGTAAATAGAGTCCCCCACTGAAACTCTTATGGCTTAAATGTGACACTAACGAAGCATTAGTAACACCTGATTCCTACTGCCAATTGTAAGTATAACAAAGACTGTGATTTACCTGCTTACGAATTGCTAGTACATTTCAAAAGAAAAAATGAGTGACATCTCAGGTAATGGTGTTGGATTAGCCTCTAATTTATGGCTGCACATTCAGAGCATTTCAGTCTCTATTTAAAGAAAACATTGCTCCTGTTATCTGTAAAATATCCTGACATTATTCCGAAATTCCATAAGTGTCACCAACCTGCAAACATGAATGAATGAAAACATGTGATCCAGTACCTGTGCCAGTATTTGTGTCCATGATACTCACACTGTCATCCAGCCAGGATGTGCCTTCTAACCTGAGGATGTCGCTTCCGGAGACTGTGTAGGTTCCAATCCGGTATGAAGCGGCAGGATCAACAGCTATCGTTTTCTGTTCACTCCATGCTGTCTGTAAATGATGCGGGTAAATCTTCAAGGTTTCTAGAAATGCCAGACAATCCAATTTAGCTTCAAAGGCTCCAACAATAACTGCTGACAGCACTTCCAACAGTGGAGTATCATTCTGAATGTCTTGTCCTGCGAAATGTGACCTTAGTATTAACTGCTGTGCCCTTCTGAAGTCTCCTGCCCACAGTCTGGATACTTGAGCAACAAGAGAAACAGCAGTTTGTGGTACAGGTGGCTTGTCGTTTGAGGCTGACTCCCCAATACACCTTACAGGTAAAGTTTGAGAACAGACAGATCCTGAGGTTAACAAAGAATCTGACTCCTTCGATTCGCGCTCAACTTCTGTCCTCAAGGTTTCTTTCATCAGTGCAATGACACAAGTGAGCTGCCCTGAGCTGTTTTGAGATTCAAAGAAGCATTCCAGAGCACCAGGAGCTGTTACAGTTTCAGATGTAACATTATGTTGTTGAAGAGTATCAGAATGAGAACTGGTTGCATGCCCATCTCTGTCCAGGTTTGGCACAGTTTCAGCATTGTTATCAAGTGTTACAACAGAATCCGTGACTTGAACACCAGTTGAAGACACTCCATCATCTGGAATGATCAGACAAATAGTTTGTGGTGGTCCCAGTTCATACACAGGACCAAGGCTTGACATATTCAAGTTTACAGCATTTCCAGAACTTGTAGCTGTCACCGGAGATGTCTGTTGACTGCTGCTAGGATACATACGGTCTGTGTTTGACTGCACAGACTGCACAGTATTATCTGAAAGATTCTCAACAACTGAGGCATTGATCCTACTATCACAACCGTCCTCCCTGTGAGATACCCCTGCCATGTTTTCTTGGTAAATAGTTTCACACAGTTCAGCAAGTTTATTCAATCTTGTTTGTGGTGACATTACGCCTGTGGTATCTGTTGCCTGAGGAATGTCATCTTCTGTGCAATGACTTGCAGGAACTAGATGATCCTGAGCGAGATCAGTAGGAATTTCGTGTTCAGTCTGTCGACAAGCCCTCTTCTTCTTTCTCTTTCTTGTTTTCTTCTTAACTTTCTTGTGTATCCTCTTTTCTCGACACCTGGTGTTGCTGATATGAGACAATGATCGAGGAATCATTACCCCAGGAACAGCAGATGTCTGTGCCTGTTCCTGCAGCTGTTGCTGTATGTCTCTAGGTTTGATTCTCGTGTCCTTCAATGCCTGGATGACCGAAGGACAGAGGCGTGTATAAGACTTGGAGGTGTCTTTTGCATTACCATGTGGAAGGTCCACAGCAACACTTTCATCCCCGAGATATTGAAACAGGACCAAGTTGTTATGATTTTCCAGCAAAACGTAAGCATGTTTCTTGAATCTTTTGTCTTTACCTCGACTGGTTCTCAGCACAAAGAAATTTTTGTAAAATTTAGGATTAGTTCTAGGCTGCTTACGTAGGCCGTCGTGTTGAAAGTGATACTGATCACATCTCCAGTCATCTGGAAAAAAGGAAATACATCATAAAAGAAGGTACTCTGTGAAATCTAAACACTTCAAAGCCACATGCACTGTCACCAATACCCCGCCATGTCATAATATCAGCATGCTTGAAATACTGTCCCTAGCTTCATATATTAAAGAAAAATATAAACAAAACCAGGATTCCATAAACCTTAATGAAAGCATTAAATCAATGATCCATAAAGAGAGTATAACTGCAGTATAAACCTGGCTGCATTATATAACACTGGTAGATCGCTGTATGTCACAATTAATGGAAGGTCGCTGCCATATCAAAACTGAGGGAAATACATGTGTGAATATTCCTGTAGCATGTCCTCAAACTGTGCATTAACATGTGGATGTGACCATATTGTCTTCAATAAACATTCATAGTAATGTGGTTATACAATTTCAGCTCTGAACGCTTTATGTCACATTACTTTCATGTGAGACTCTTTTCACTGTGATTGGCTTTGCCCTGCATGAATTCACAATGCTTGTCAGAAAGGTGTCAAATGTACCAACGTTACAATGCGGATTGCGGATTGCACATGCTCATTAAATTACATGTTCTAGTACATCAGAGATTTCAACTCACGCTGAGAGGCACCATATCGCCAGCACTCCAATTCAGCAATCTGACTCACTCAGCTCAAACAAGCAGGCCTTCAAACCGGTTGTGAGAGTGAGTTAGTCAGGTAAAATAAAGTTACTTCGGCAGTATTTCAGCCATATTATGACTATGAGAGTTGAATATTAATAAAAGCAAAGTTAGGCAATATAAATACCTGTCGGGACGGTCAAATAACAAGACCATCACAGATTTAGACTTAAAACTAACATGTACCCGTAAAACGATATTTCTATGCGGATGGATGTCCCCGGATTAGCAAAGTTGTATATATGTACTACTTACTGGCTCCATTTATTAAATTAAATACACCATTGTTCGAAAGCCATTTAGTGGTAGTTATATTAGTTGAAGTTTTACCTTTCTTGCAGTCATCCGTGTAGTGGAAAAGAACACCTCCCCGCCCTCGGTCTGGCGGGGTTCTCGATCACCCTCGACCAGTCAGGGTTTTGGAGTATGTCGAGCACCTCGCGAGAAGTGAAGGACGTCACGCTGTAATGGTAGGGCATCGTGCCAAGTTTCATACAATGTTCTGTAAACAGCAAATGAAAATCAGTTTGAAAGACAAGTGTGGCATATATATTACAGCTATGTGGAGGTTGTCTGTTTATTATCGAGTCTGGACCAAACAATCCAGTAATCAATATCATCAGCATCGATCTACGCAATTGGGATACGAAGACATGTGTCAACCAAGTCAGCGAGCCTGACCACCCGATCCCGTTAGTCGCCTCTTAGGACAAGCATGGGTTCCTGAAAGTGTTTCAGAGGTCTGGCATTATATGAGTATGTCAGCAATCATAGGTTCGTGTCTTGCTTAGAAATACCGTTAGAAACGCTGGATACATAGGCTCAACCCTATTACAATATAAAAGACATGGGCAGATCCAAGGAATTTCCAAAGGTTGAACACTCAGACGCCCTTATCTCTTCTCTCCCCCACCCCGAGATCCGCCCATGAATGATCCTTTCATATGTCAGCGATTACCCTGAGCTCCGAAAGATACGTCGTGTTCAACGACGTTCTACCTTGAAAAACGCCTGCGTTGTAAATGTATATCAACTGCCCAGGGGACCTTCGGACATAGATTAACGCGTGGTGTTTATTTGTGTATTTACGGTAGTCCTCCGTAGCTGTGGCACCCGTGCCTGTGAAAGACTTTGTTGTTGAAGTTGGTACATAGGTCAACCTGTTCACATTGTACAGTCTGAACGAGCCTTTCCGGCGCTATTTAAAGCATAGTGTGAATGTCGGGTGTGGATCGGCAGTGACGATATGTGACTGCGAATGGCTGTGCATGCGTACAAGGTATGCGAATTACCAACGTGAACCGAAACTTAAAGAAATCCGAGAAGGCATAGAATTAAAACCGCCATTGACCTACTTTGATATGAACGCACGACTTCTTACTGCACTCCAAGTCACCAGTCTGTCAATCCATACTCGCAATGTAACAACCTGAGTCGAACTCAATAATGATTTTAAAAGTGATAATTCTACTGTAAAGCACACTTTGCACACGTTTAATGGCTGCTGTAGGTAACATTCATTGCCGGAATAACTTGTTTCACTGTTGAAGTATTGGGTCACATGCAGCTGTCTTCGTCAGTTATTAATTTCATCGTTTTGCGATTCTGTTATGATGGCAAGGACCATAGTTACAAAGTTGTTTACAGGAAAGCTAGATGAGGGTTACCATGGTTACTAATACTGTACAATAGTACAGTTTGTCAACCTGCATGGTCAAATTTAGTAGGATTTATTACATTTCACGGATTTCTCATATAACTTTGATTTGTTTGATTTCAACGCCACAGACAGCAATACTACACTTATTCTAACCAGTCTGGAGTAGGCAAACTGGTGGTTGATGTTATGAGCAAAACAATATACTGTCTGGGTATACATAACAGTGATAGTAGTTTTATTACTAGAACCTTTGGTTACCCTATTGAGTTACACACTGGATCTAACCTTCCACTCATTGCTTGTAGCTTAATTTCTCCCAAAGTCCAGTTTCTCTTCGCCCAGCTATTTCATAAATACTCATGAAAATCAGGGTTAGAATTGGTATTCAGAGGCGACTAACTGGATCGAGAGGCCAGGCTCACCGACTTCACACGTCATCGTATCCCAGTTGCGTAGATCGATGCTCATAGCAGGACTATCGCTGAGTGCGGCGTTAAACAATAACCAAACCAAATCTTTCTCCAATGCTAAAGTCCTAAAGGAAGTATTAAGTATATATTCCCAAAGGTTCAGGCATCGTCAGTACTGAGGATCTTGACAATTCAAATGCAATTGGTTGTTTAACGCTAGTCTTCTCATTGTAGCAACACAAACATGTCCCGGAAATCCCATGTGTTAAAAATATCCATTGATCAAGCGCTTGGAAATTCCCATCTATAAATAGGACCCCGTCATGCTTTATATTTTTTTGTAGAGGTGCAGTGAAGAAAAGAATTGATTAGAAACTCTTTTAACTAGACACCAACACATTTATAACCAGAGTAAATAGAGTAGTACCAGACGTACTTATCTCACAATCAAATGCTTCAATTTCCAAATACTGTCAAGGAAGTAATCAACAGTGCTATCATCAATTGACCTTAAGCCGATTAACTTTTTCATAGAGGTTGATAGTCGCGTCGCTAACGTCAATGTGGAACGATGCCTAAAGTCACCTACCTTCATGATCAGACTCCGGGACTCACTTGAACAGGTGCGTTACGTTCCACTTTGTGTGCTCGATGCGCGCTCAAGGCGTTATCTATACTGCCACTGAAATGATCACGTGACTTGAACAGCCAATACATTTTCGTAGACTGCTCATTGATCTGATATGACGCAAGTAAATTCGCATTAAAATACACCCGCCGTATCGTTGACACTGAATGGGTCCGTGCTTTGTAATCCGCAAATTGTAATTTCAGTTTTCTTTTCTAAACCGCGAATGGATCGATTTAGACAGTGATGACATTAACGCTGTTTACTATATGTATATGGTTGTTACAATTTAAAGAAATTTCTTAACTTACATATTGCCTGACTAGAAAAGAATACATGAAGTTTACCGGAGACGTGGATCCGGGTCAGAATTGATCTTCAGTAACGCATGCTTGTCCCCCCGTGAAGATCAGGGTTAGAATTGGTCTTCAGTAATCCATGTTTGTCGTAAGAGGAAACTAACGGGATCGGGTGGTGAGGCTCACTTATTTGGCTGATACTTGAAGTCGAATCCGAATTGCGTAGATCTATTCTCATCCTGTTGAACACTGGTTTGTCTGGTCCAGACTTTATTAACTACAGCTGGAATATTGCTGAGACTAGCGTTAAATAAAAAACAAACCAAATCTTGTATTTACTCAAGAGAGCATTTTGAAATAGAGTATCAGAGTAAATGCACCAGATGCAACAGAGAGTGGGAGAAAGACATATAGGGGTCAATAGCATGAGAATCGATCTACTCCTTTGGGATACGATGGCGTGTCAACCAAGTCAGCGAGACTGATCACCCGATCCTGTTAGTCGCATCTTACGACAAGTATGGGTTACTACAGAACAATTCTAACCCGGATCTTCACGGGTAGACTTCCAGACAAATGAGTCATAATGTTCACCATGACGAACGGTCTCTAATACACAGTCACAATGAAAACTGGTGTGACTTAAACAGCTTCCTGGTTACGTGTGCTACATTTCACGGATAGCCTCCCATTCCGCCAAATAGCAATGAACAGTGTTCATGGTACGTAAATAGGCCATACAACATGGCGTTCCAGTCTCTGCGCTGTGCGTGAGCGTGTGCGTGTGTGTGATTTCTATATTCGGAGGGGTGGGGGGTCTGTGGGTGTGTCTGTCCACAACTGTGTCTGTAATGTCTACCAGAAGCCCACGACTGCTGCTTCAAAATGAAACGTTCATAACAGTGTTGTTATCCGCATTTCGAAATTTCAAAGTAGAGTTACTAAAAAATATGTATAACAAGAAAGTTTACACTTACTTAACTACAGAATTAAAAAACAACTGTAAGCTCCTTTTGTAACAGTTGAATGACAACAATGGAGTAATTACAACCGGTCGTGAAGTATGACGGCATATTCACTACATCATCATGTTCTAGGTATCCAGATTCTCAGTAGCCCTGTGTATCTGATATACCTGTATACATGAGGCCAGTCTACAGTGAACACAGCCATGCTATCAGACAGGGCGGGAACCCGCACTTATTCACTGTCTTTAGCTGCGTTACCTTGCACGGATCATTCTCTCCACAACGGTTACACAAAAATGAAGAAAAAGTGCATCTGGCAGGAGTCTTAAGTTTTATCAGGAAATATATTCACAAACATCCAGTGGATACACAAAACCAAAGTGTAAAGGTTTTGAATCATAGCAGGGATAGATGAACACTGTTTACAATCGAAGAAAGTAATGATTTGGGTAATCTTTCTCACCAAAGTAACGTACAAATGAGGTCAACATTAAGGAAACTTGTCGTTCATACATGTAATTATACATTCAGGAAGTCATATGTGGTAGTGTCTGTCTCTAGTAATGTTACATTTCACGGATCAACCTGTGTACATGCGGCATGTGACTGCATATCTGTTTGTACGGGTTAAACCTAAACTTTATTTACTGTCTTCAACAGTGCGTTAAACCCACATGCTTTATTCATTCTTAAAGAGAAAGGGCGATGGTTTAGCCTCCTGGTTATAGTGTTGGCTCGAAATGCGGGGCTCGATTCCCCACATGGGTACAATATGTGAAGCCCATTTCTGGTGTCCTCCACCGTGATATTGCTGGAGTGTTGATAAATGCGACCTAAAACCATGCTCACTCACTCACTTAAAGAATAGACACAAAACAGAACATTGTAAGACTTTATTAGGTGAACACCTTCATAACATATCCCACGCTTACACGGAGTCCAAGACATCATGGGAGGGACACATCGACATTACTGAAATATTACTGATACTTCTCAACAACATCTCGCAAAACTGCAGTGAACTTGAAATAAATTTAAGTATGTCATGAGTACCAGAGAGCTGCTTGCTGTACGTGGATGTATATGGTGACACACAATGTTACATTTCACGGATCACCCTGTAAACATGAGGCATGTCCACCGTGCAGACCAACATGCTGTCAGACAGGGCCTGAACCAGGACTTCAACAGTTGCCCGTCTTCCCGTCCGCTGTCTCCACGTGTTCAGCATGGCGAATATCTGCATCTGGGGCGATGACTGTGACAGCGTGCACCTCTCCACACTGACGTACGGAAGCCCCAGTCTCAGACCCAGCATCTGGAAACCCCCGCCCACATGTTGAGACACCAGGAACAGGGTCCTCTCTGACACACACGACCTTCTTTCATCTTCTGTCAGGCGGTCTTCGTCCTCCCAGTCCTCGT